GAGATAATTCAAATTGTTGAAATGTGTCAACCTATATTACTTTTATTAACATTTTTGTTAGCCGACACTACTCAAATTAATTGAAAATAGTTATAAATGTACAGTTGAAGATTAAAGAAAAGTAATCATTTACCCAGAACTAACAATTAAGAGACTAGGAAAGTGAAAACCTGTAAAAAGTTCATAGAAGCCCAAATACTATTGCCAAAGAGAAGCAAATTTCTGAAAGGATAAGCTTATTTTTTTATTCTTTTTGTCGACCAAATGATTTCAAATTTGTGTTGCAACGGAATCAAATAGAAAATAAATAGGTACTCTAATCAGTACGTGCTAAATACTCAAAACAATAAAAAACAAAAGACTCTCTACAAAGTTTATTCATTGATGATTGTGTATTTAAAATAAGTTTTTTTTATTAAAGAAAGAGAAAGTTTATTGAAACTAATCTGAACTGGAACTCCCAAAAGCCTTAAAAATTTTGTATCCCAATAGTAACATTCAAAATTTCACAATTATTATGCCCTCAAAATATCAAAGGGAAAAATAAAAAAAATATACAAATTTTTTTAAAATTGCGGTTTTAGCCAAAAAAAAACATTTTTTTTTATTTTTATTTTTCAATATTCCATTTTTTTTATTTGCGAAAAAAAATAAAACTTTCCTCCCCGTTGATTTTCTCTTACCATCAACCACAAATTTATTTTGAGTTAAAGATATTTTGTTAGTCATGGACGATTTTTATTTGTTGAAATTAAAATTTAGTTTGGTAGAAAGAGCATAATTCCAAAATAAAATCGAATTCTTATAATCATTTTTTATGTAAAAATGTTTTAAGTATATTTTAAAGAAGCGAGGCACGTGCAAAAATTTGGAGTTTGCATTTTGAGAATCGAATGAAAAATTGCATACTTTTAGGCTTAAATATTTATATTAAGTAATTTTGACCGTACACCTAATTGCAAGTAGTCTGAAAATTGATCTGTTGAAATTGACGTATTTGGTGTATAGAAAATTCAGTAATATTTTTTTATATTAGCTTAAGGTTATTACATACCACACCAGTGTAAAAGCCAAATGGTTACCCAGCGTCGGTTCTACCATACATGCAAAGTAAGTATTTGCAATGTGCGCCGCTACTGAAAACTAAAAAAAAATCTATTTTAAAATATAAAAAACTTTTCCTATGTTTTCCATTACGTATTTTCCAAAAGTTTTTTGTATTTACAACGAAATAAGCTTGATAACAAGTACTTATATACGAACATTGCAAAACAAAAGGCTGAGGGTTTAATTCCGGGCATTGATTCTAAAATTATTCTTACATTTAGCATGGTTAAGTTACAGGAAAGCGATTTATTATGAACAATGTGTAATGTTTATTTTGTTTACATGAAAGCATTTTTAAAATCCGCGTAGGGCTATTGGTACCTTTGTTTTAAAAAAAGCTTTCTAGCAATATCTGTTTGTACATACAGATGTATGTGCATTTCATACGCTGTTCAAATTAATAAAATATGACCTAATTATAAAATTAATAAAGCTCTGCCCCCTACTACATTTCGATGAACATATTTTTTGAATTGAAGACAAATAATATAGTTTTCATCAAAAACGATTGTCCTCATTGAATCATTTTTGAATCATGCTACACAAACCATCTTTTCTTAAATCTATACACATACAGCGTAAGCACAGTTATACCTACATGCATGCATATAACATACTCCAATATTATATTTTTATACCTATATGATAAGATTTTTTGTTTTTGTTTTATAATAATTGTTAAAACATATTTTTATATACCTTATTGAGAAATACAAAATGTGTATGAAAAATCATACATCCTTCCTCATTAACATTTGAAACCATACTGAAATATGAATTTCAAATTTTTTTTCATTTTTTCTTTCCTCCTACCTTTCTTTCTTTTTCGTGCAATAGAATTTAAACGGGAAGCTTTTTAAAAAATGTGTATAATATCCTGAGATTTTTTAAAATATTAAACTCTTTTTTACGTAAAAAAAAGAAAAAAATAATAAGAAATAAGATACGATCAGTAGCATTTAAAGAAAAAAACAGGAACGAAGCCAAAAATTCGTAATATTTCGTAAAAAAAAATTGAGTATTGGGACTTGTTAGATATAAAGACATTACTATATTATATGATATGTTTTCTGTTTTTTATTTTGCCGGTGAAATCCATATTTTTACGATAAAGTGTTTTTCTTTATGAGACGTTTTAAAAAACTATGAATGAGATCTCATTTAACGAAAAATTTCAAATACTGAGAAAAACATATGTTTCTACTGCTGCAAGATTTTAAAAGTTTTTAAAACACTAAATTTTATTTTGCAAAACTTGAAAAAACTTTAAACATTGAGATAATGAAAACGTCAACATTTTTTCTCATTTTTCTTTAAAAAGTATTATCCCAGGTGCTTTGCAAGCAAAAACTTTATAAAGTTTTCAAAAGTTTTTAAAAACTTTCTTATACAAGACAGACCTCATATTTGTACATCAGCCGCTGATATGGTAAAAAAATTTTTCAAACTGCTTCAATTGGATTAGTTTTTCCTCAATTTATTTTTATTGAAATTATTTTTTAGTTTGAAAAAAAACTGTTAAGGAAGTAGTTCCTTTTCGTTTGCTTAATATTTTTTTATTTTCGTATATTGTAAGAGAAATGAACAATTAAAGGCATTCAATTGCTTCTTTGTAGACTCTTCTAACTAAACTCTTAAAAATTAATTTTTGCATAATTATAGCCTGATATTTAAGTAATAATTAAAAATTTCACTCTTGCAGATTTATTGGTTAATTGATTAGAAATAGTAAGAAATTATAATTTTTATATTACGATTTTTTTTAAACATCGTATATTTAATTTTGCAGGATATAAAGAAAATTTTAACAGTGTTTTAGAAGTTTAGACATTCTACGATTTTCGAACTTACTTTTATTTATCAAACATCCTATTTTGGCAGATTTTAAAGTTTTGACTTATCGAAGATATTTTGTATTAATTCCAAGGTAGAATACTCAATATTTTCTTAGACATGTACTCGTATGTACATGTTTTTAGTAAAATTTTGTAACAAAAGTAACATATGCAGGCCCGGCTCGGCCGTGGATGCAGAAGATGCACGGCATCGGGGCGCCACTCTGAAAGGGTCTGAAAGGGCGCTAAAATCGAAAAGTAATTTTCCATTTAATTGTTTTTTGTAATTTTTTTTTTTTTTAAATCAAGTTTCCAATCCAAATTTTTTTTGAAAAAATTTTTGCTTCGCTCAAATTATTAAAACACAAAAAAAAAAATGTAGTCGTAGTAGGCTTTTCTTTAAAGAATTTTTTTTTTCTTTTTGGTTTATAAAATACAGACATTTTTCATTTTCGTTGCGATATTTTCAGTAAGAAAAAATAATATTTTATTTAATTTAAATAAAATATAATTTGTTTTGTGAAATATTTAATTTTAATTAGACATTAAAGTGTAAGAAAAAAGTGTAATTTGTTGGATAATACCATTTTTGTGAGTATAGTGATTTTTATCAATTTTATATAGATTTCAAATTATCAAAATTTTCAGATGTAGATATTAATCCTCAATTTAAAGAAAATCCATTACGACGGCGTAAAAAACGTATGTTTGATTACGAAAGTCGTGATGAGAGACCAAGAGACCCGGAACAGAACTATAAAATTTCATTCTTTCTTCCAATTGTAGACAGTGCAATCAACTCCCTAATAGAGAGATTCGAACTTCTAAGCAGTCATGCCGAAAAGTTTCACTTTCTTATAAATTTTAATGAAATTTATAATTTGGGTGACGAAATAATGAAAAATAAATGTACCGATTTACAAACTTCATTAACTGATGGTGAAGAAATGGACATAAACTCTTCTGAGTAATATAATGAACTTTTTATATTTAAAGATACCATAACGCCGCAACTAAACAATTATGATTTTAAACTATGTATACAAATGATTTATTTGGGATATTTCCAAATATAACAATAGCTTTGCGGATACTATTAACTCTACCAGTTTCTGTAGCAAGTGGCGAAAGGTCATTTTCTAAACTTAAATTAATTAAGACATATTTGCGATCAAATATTTCTCAAGAGAGATTAGTTATGTTAGCAATGATTGCTATTGAAAGAGATATCTGCGATGAACTAAAAATTAATGATATTTTGGATGAATTTGCTGCGATAAAAGCAAGAGAAATAAATTTTTAAGCTCACTATCGTGCAATTGATTTTATGTGTAATTGATATCAGTTACAAATAAATGTTTAATATTAAATATTATACAATAATCAATATACTGTTTAATTTGCATTTGATTTTTTTGATATATTTTTTGATAAAGGGCGCTAAATAGAAACTTGCATCGGGGTTCTAGTACCGCTAAAGCCGGTGCTGAACATATGCTTAGAGGTTGGTGAATATACCTATGAAAATTTTTCAATTTAAAATTTATTTTTAACTTTCCTTCATAATTTAACTCAGTACCCTTTTTCAAAATTTATTTTGAATGCGAACTTCCTTCTTTTGGCAATTTTTTTTCCCGAACTTCAAAATAAAACTCCAAAATTTATTTATTTAAAAATATTTTTAGGTATCATTAAAAGCAAATGACTTAAAACATAAAGGATGTAATATTTTTTTCTTTATATGTATAAACTCTATACATTTTTTAAAAACTATAAAGGAAAATGAGAGTTGCTCTCTCTACACGGTGGCCATGTACTTACCACGGCAGTGTATTAATTATCTAGTAACTTAAAACGCGAACAAAACAGTACAATACAACTCATGATATATCTATAACGGAAAAACAAAATGTTGCTATAGTGATGGGTGGTGTGTGTACATTAATCACATATGTATGTTGGCACATACTTACGAAGCGTTATGTAATAACAGAAAATTTATTATATAGAATTTGTTAACAGGGTTTTAAAGACATCCTGACCAGTATCTACAATAAATTATTTTATTTTTTTGCAATAGAATTTTAAACATGCATAGTTGCTTGCCAGTATGGGAAGACAGAGAAATTAAATTTGATATTCCAAATATGTACATATATATAAAAAAATAAGACTTATAATAGTGTCGAAATAATTATAATTCAAAGTTAATTTATTTATAGGCAAAATAATTTGCGTGGTGGAGAAAAAAGTTTAAGTTTTATTAATAATGTGGAAGATAATAAGGGAAATCCCGGTGATACAGGAAATCTTTTAATAACGAACCTGAGAATAATCTGGTATTCTTTAGTAAATAAAAAGTTTAATATATGTAAGATTCGTATAATAAAAATAAATATACGTATTTACAACATGAGAATTGTGTAAATATATTTAATATATATTATATATGTATATTAAAGCAATTGGATTTTTGAAAATTATATCAATGACAACAAAATCAGTATTTTCTAAACAACGTGGTACAACACAAGCTTTACATGTGGTGGCTGCAGGAGCAAGCATGAAATTCGAATTTTTATTTTTAGACTGTTCGGCTGAAAACAAAAATAAAGCTCATTCTCCTTTTGAGAGTGTTTTTGACCTTTATAGGTATTAATATGCATTGATCATTTGTAAATACACAATACGAAGTACATTTCGAATTAACTTGTAAATAATGCAATTGTTAAAACATTACCCAATTTTTTTATTAAGAATCTATCAACAAACTCCATTGTACCGTGAATTAAAACTTCGTGGTCACATCGTTCAACAAGGAAATATAATAGTATTACCTCAAGAGCAAGTTTATACAACTGTACATGGTGTTTGGAATTTGTCCAGCGATCAAGGTAATCTCGGTTCATTTGTTGTTACTAATGTCCGTTTAGTTTGGTTTGCTGACGTAAATGAAACATTCAATTTAAGTTTACCTTACATGCAAATTTCTTATGTAATTATTTATTTTTTAGTTATTTAAGTATTGAACATTTCAAATGAACAATAAGATTATTTACAGATAAAATTGCGTGATTCAAAATATGGTCTTGCATTAGTAATACATACTTTAGAAACGGGTGGAAGCTATGTGCTTGGGTTCAGAATAGACCCACAAGAAAAATTACAGGAAATTTATAAAGAACTTATATCATTGCACTCAGTTTATAAAGAAAATCCAAATTTCGGCGTTGAATATAAGGTCCAAAAACATACTGTTGCTCATAACGAAGGACAATCTGATTTGGTTATTGAAAATATTCAAGAAATTGATGACAAACAAGAAAAAGAAATTAATTCTAAGCTGAACTCATATATAGCCGAAGGCACTTCTTTAACAAATAGTAAACCAAGAGAGCCATTTTATTGCAAAGAAATTGGTTTCGCGATGGAAAAATTACGGAATGAATTTAAGCCATCTGATTTATGGGATGTAGTGTCATCAGAAAAGATTTAAAAAAAAAAGAAGGGTGAAATTATATTTGTCTGATAAATTTCAAAATAAAATAAAATTTTACCTTTAAAATGATATCCAGATTTTTCTCATTGCTTTCAAATAAGTTCCTTAAAAATTCTGGCCATAATATATTACATTCTTGTGTTTCATGTTCAAGTTCTAAGAGTAATAAAGACAACCATCCACAGTCAGTAGACAAATTTGGAAATTTTTTTTGATTTCCAGAACTCAAAAACAGTTTAAATGTGGATGCACGCTCCATTTTCCAATCATTACAGTTCTACAAAAAATTTGATAATTTCAATATAAATGATGTCCCCCTTTTATATATAACACTTACTTTATAATATTCTCTGAAGAATTCTTTGCAATTAGACCATGAATCAGAAAACTGATAAGCAATTTTCAAAATGGCATCTACTAAGAAAACAACATTTGTATTTTGCCAATTTGGAAAATTCGATAAAATGTCAAGCCATAAGTGAATAAACAACGATGGTGTCGTTAATCCTGTTTCATAATAATGAATAATTTGTGATTGCATCATATTGATAAAATGTTCAAATACTGGTCCATGAGAATTCGGTTTGACTAAATCCTTTGCCATTTTTATATAAGTTCGATCAGCGTTTAAAATAATTTTTAATATTTCATGAAAACTGTGAATTTAATAATAAAAAAAATAAATGAATTTATTACTTTGGATTAAAAACCACCTTTCGCATTGAGACAACGTATCTGGACTTTCTAAAAACAACGGTGTAATCAACTGAATACATCTAATCACTTGTTTATATCGGTGATCTAATAGTAACATTTTCATTTGATTAATCCCTTTCTGGCATATTAACGGAATTGAGTGGCCCCATAAGCTTATTAATAAAGAAATGTAAAGTGCTAGTGGGCGGCTTTCTGTGACACCTTGATGTATTATGTCAAAATTTTCAAGATCAGGAACAAAGCATAAGTAATCTGACGGATTTTGCAGAGTTCTTTTAATTGCTTCGCTATTCTGATCCATTAAATGTAATCGTAATAACGAAATCATATTCCAACACCATGTAGTAAATTGTTCTTTATCGGAATGGTTTTCGATCAAATTTGAAACTTGTCGCATACCCTCTGAAATTGACGACGCCCCAATAATTTCTGGATTATGCTTATTTAGTGCCTCACATATCAGACAAGCCATTCGTACGTGGATATTGTGTGGCAAAAATAAACGTTTATCAGTATCAAAACACCAATTTAAATGACTAATTATGATACGGGCTAACGCATTTTCTTTGCAATCGTAATTATAATTAAGCAACCAATTTGACAAAATTTCAAAACTTGAAATATTAGCTTTCCAATTTTCTAGTGGAAGTGATTTCACCAAGTAAATTAAATTATCTGTTTCACCAAATCGAATCTTCATTTGAAGTAATAATGAATCGATCAACTCTGGATATGATAAGGTTAGATTAGTCAACATATCCCGCGAAGTTTTATAGCAAGTTTCTCTCGTCGGTTCGTTAACAAAACCAACCTGAAATTATTATAAATACAAATTATATAATTTATTTCGTCTCCATATTTCACTCCATTGATAAATTATTATTTACCAAAAAAATGTGTGAGCAAACTGTTTCTATGAATTCCCAATCTTTCGATCGATCCCTATCGTTTGCCATTTCAAAAAACGCTTGAATCAAATAATACAAATCTTCTGGAGATAAATGTGACGCAATTAAATTAAAGCGAAACCAGAAATTTTGTTCACACAATGTTTTTTTAAAATCTACAAATAATAGCAAATTATATTTATAAATTTCATTTGCGATTGTTAATTATAATTCGCGTACAAAAAATATTTTTTATTTTAACTATTTTTAAGGTACGTAAGCTTTATAATTTCGCTAATTTGATAAAATTTTATTCCATTTTCATTGAAAATAAATTTTTGATATATTTTTTACAACTTAATTATAAAAATTATGAACTGATTTAAATAATCTACCTAATTTAAACTTAACATCCTCATTTTTAGCTAAAGGCATGAAAAGAAATTTGAATATAATAATTTATTAAATACATAAAAATTACCTTCATTAGCTACTGGAAAATCGTCAGGAAATCCCACATTAAGATAAAGAAATAGCTGCCACAAAGTATCGGTTTGAAGTAAAGTGAATGGTAATGAAGCAAAATATTGCCATGTTGCTAAATTTGGAGTTTTATAAATATAGCTACAGGATTTAATGATAAAAGCATTCATTTCAACTGTAATTTGATCGCAAGAAAAAGGGTCTTTTGATAACTTATTTCTCCTGACAAAAAATGTGATTTAATTTTGAATATTTTTAACAGAAAACAAATTATTTACAAAAAAATTTCGTGTATATCCGATACATAGTGAATGGTATGCCTTATTAATCTACCTAATCTTTTAGCAAACTGTTTATAACGTTCTATATTATAGGTCAATAAGCCTTCCCCAAAAACCTCGATCAAATTAGTAAAAAAAGCAATAATCCGTAAGAATTGATATTCGCTAATACGATCGCTTTCTATATCATAATCACTATTGTTTTTTTCAGCGTTTATAGCACATCTGAAATATATAAAAAAAGTCAATCAATTTCTATTCCATAATAGATTAATAATAAATAAACTTACCGAAAGATCATTTCTAATGGAATCTGGTTTAAAAAGCTAATTAAATCATTTTCTTTCATTCCAAGGCATTCACCTTTATAATCACTTCCTTCTTCGCCGTCAGAATCAACGATTATCCAAACATCATCTTGCACTGGATCTGATATTTCCCTGTGAGACTAAAAAGTATTGGAAAATAAACATCATAATATGAAAATTTTGTCGGATACACTAACTTTTGACAAGGCGAACAAAAATTCACTTCTTTTCTTTATTGGAAGAAGTAATATTTGTAAAATTGATAAGCAATGATTCATCTCCAAGCACTCCATTAAATCATATTTTTCGTATTTTTTTACTTCAGGAATTTGAATAAATTTGGTTGCCCATTTAGAAACACCGCTAGGACAACGTAAAATTTGAAAAATAAGGAACCAGTGATCCTGAATTGTTGCTACCCGCAGATATGCAGATACTAAAGTGTCAATCCAAACAATTAAATCATTAGAAAATATCTGCAAAATTAGAAAATTATTTTTTTGAAAAAAGATTCTAATATTTTACCTTATCCGGGGGTGGCTTTCGAAGACAACTGAATAGAATGGATAAAGCTCTTCGTAGATGACTTAAACCTTGCAATGTCAACGAATCTGTTTCCATTACAACACGAATATCTGAGTAAGATTCGACTTTGATAAAGCATGGATGTGATAGAATTTCTCTTATAATTTGATCAACCTTACAAATCATTTGAAATGATTAAAATATAGGTATTTTAACATAGAGAATGTGTATCTGTCCTACTGACCTTTAACTTTGCTGTTTCAGCTGTTATTTTATTTTTGGTAAATGAAAAACAAATTAATTCATGCATTGAAGTCAAAGTAGAGTATAAATTTTCAAGTTTCGTCTGATCTATTTCACGAATCCTAGGATTTCAACATTTTTCATAAATTGTTTTTAAATACAAAAAATGCAAGTAACTTACTCATAGCTTTCTTTGGCAGTAACGCGAACATTGTCATTACAAACTCCGCTATCCTGATTAAAACAAGTTGTAATTTTCCATATATCATTTTTCAGCGCCTCAAATCTATTTTTCAAATCTTTCAAATCTATTAAATTAACCTTAATTTTACTTCTTGCTACTGCATATTGTTGTAAAAGTGTATATAATGGATCATTATCAAAATTTTCTTTCAGCGAACTTGCTAGAAATTCAAGTTCAAATTGTTTAACTAAATCCAATATTTTGCATTCATATAATTGCGATAACTGAGTTCTCGTCATAGGATTTGGCGCAATAGATATTTTAGTGATCAAAGGTGGTTCTAATTTAGGTTCATTGCATATTTCTATATCTTTCAAATCAGGATATTGAAAAGAAGTAGTGCTATCCAATTGTTTATTGTTCGGAAATTGATCTATAATGGGTGCGGTTGGAATTTCAACATTGCTAATTTGTCTGTCGATTTGTACGGGATTTTCTGAGTTAATCAATTCTTCGTTGGCATTTTTCAATCCATTATCTACAAATAATTCAGTAGTCAAATCGCTTGACCTTCCTTCCTCCGGCTGATTAGCATTTTTGTTCACAGCATAGTTAGAATCAGTACGCGAGACTTCTACAACGGGTTCAGAAGTTTCTTTGACCTTTTTCTTTTTCTAAATTATATTTTATTGAAAAAATAATGTGCACTGTATTTTTAAAATTTTAGTACCTTAACTCTAGTTTTTTCAATGGTAGCCATATTAGTCAATTTTTAATATCCACCAAAATAACATTTTATATTTTCATAAAGTTTGATGATAAAGAAAATTGTAATTCCCCAATGTTCTTTGTTTTTTTTGCGTTTATATTAAGTTAATAATAAAATATTATGTTGCAACAGGGATGTGACGATTGACGAATGCACTAATGCAGTTTGCTGCATCAAACACTATGTAGAGATAAAAAAAAATACGTTTTTATAAAGTTGTAACTTTTCAATTAAACTGTCAATTTAATAATAAAGTTGTAACTGTCAATTTAATACGTTTTACTCATATAATTATGCTGCCAAATATGTTAATTTTTTTTTAAATAAAATCTTCATTTTGAAGATTCGATAAAAAAAGATTTTACGAAAATTTCGAGATCTTTAATTGCTATTCAATTGGAAAATGAAGTAAGCAATGGATTTCAAAACGAACTAAATCAGACACCAGAACTATAAACTAATGACATTAGTTTGTCTTTTTTTAGTTAACGCGGCTAGTCGATTAATATGGAATTAATTGAAGCGATCAAAAATTTGCTTTCATGGAGGTATATCATTTATTATTATTACCATTCGTTGCCTATTAAATTGACTTTTTGGTCAAAATGTTTTTTGTAAACTTTGGAAAATATAGAAAAAAAGCAAAAAATTCCAATTTTGAAAAACTTCAGTAGCATTAAAGAAACCTTTATTTTGTAGATGTTTTGTATCTTATTTCGAATTAATTCAAAATAAGAATCAAAGAATCGAGTTAGAGGATAAGGATAACCTCTAGGTGTGAAAAAGTGAGTTGAAGAGGGTGCAAAGACTCCCCTCAAAAGGATTCTGTGGAGAATTTAAGGAACTACAGTAGCCTCGAGACTTAGAAGTGTCTTGGCAAGCGATGATACAGTCAAGTTACCTAACGGCTTTCCTTAACTAAAATTTGTTTTTTTATTAAATATTGATTAAAGTTTAAATTATAATTTTGTTTTATTCTATCGAGCTCTTTTAAAATTTTGAACGAAAATAAAAAAAAAGTTGCATATAATTTAGGAAGTACAATTTTATCAATTAAGAATTATTTCTATATTACGCCATGTATTTGTGTCACCGCTAATAGAATTACAGGTATGGACCTCTGAGAGAGAATGACAGTTCATAGATGTCATTACACGTATTCTTATGGAAACCATATTAGAGCCCTTTTTAACATCATAAATTTTCACAAGATCAACTTATTTCAAATTTTTAATTAAAAAACTTAAAATTCAATCCTTTTCTATTTTACTAGTACTTACATTCTTAAAGTTTTGTGTTATAAAAATATTAAAAAATCAATTTAAGTAAACTTTCAGGCTATGTTAATTTTTTTAAGATTTCTATAAGTGCTACACTACAAGAAAAAAAAATAGAGCAAATTTTTTTTATCGAAAAATACTTCGAAAAAAAAATTTTAAGTTAATTTTTGTGTTGTTTTTTTTAAATCTAAGAAAAATATAAATCACACTAATGCATACTTCTTTTATAATCACATATATTTGTATATTTTCCATAGAAATAGTCCAGAAGATACTCCAGAAGAGTATAATAGTTAATTTAATATCATTCATAATTCACAAAACTTATTGCATATATTTTTGTAACACTCATTTACATTTCCCTAAACTGCCATATTAAACAAATCCAATTATTTCTTTTAACCTTATTTTATATCGTATATTCCACACTAAAAGCATATCAGCAATTTTTTTTATTCAGTGTTTATCATTTTTTGCTCTCAGATATGTTATGTCTAACGTCCGGTAATGTCTTTATATCTAACAAGTCCCAATAATCAATTTTGTTTAGTTCATTCGTTCTTGTTTGTTTCTTAAATTCCATTTAATGTCTTTATATCTAACAAGTCGCAATGCTAAGAGAGAAACTGGAAAGCACGACCTTATTTTATATGGTTTTTTTTTAAATCGAAGTGGCTATTTTTGGAGAAGAAATATCAAAATAAATTCACACTTATTATAAAGCATTTAAAATTTCGAAAATATATTTAAAAAAGCAATTAAATATATTAATATTTTCATTCATACTACATCAAGAAGTAAGGATCACATGAAGAAGGATTAGAGATCTCTTGTAGGAGGTCCTATACCATTTAATTCATTCGAAATTTTGTTCCAAAATTTATGGCTACAAGTTTTTGAACAAACATTTCTTGCAATATCTAAATTCTCCTCCATTATTTCAGTTATCCTATTTAGTTGAGATTTATTACTGACAATTCTGTTCCTAAAAATACAAAATTAAATTTGACTTATAGTTCTCAATTATGTTAATAATAGTGAAATTTTATTAACTAAAAAACTACTTGTACACTATCGTGTGCTATCATGTATTAAAAATTGCCCGATAAAACATATTGGGAAATCCCAAAAATTTTTCATAATACGGTAAACGCTGGTTTACATGCAAATAACAAAAAAAAACTCTTTTGAAATACGATAAATCGTCCGATACAAAGCCGATGAACAAATTTCATAACACTAGCACTACGATAACTATAAGAAATATCGTGTATCGTACAAAATATTTTTTTCATAATAAGGGCCAATGTTTAAAAACTTTTCTTGTATTTATATATTAAATATTATTACTTTCGTAGTAAAAAATAAATATAAAGTTTGGGTATATCGTTAAAAAAAAATGTTTGGTGCTATAGAAATTAAAATTAAATTAAAAAAAATTAAAACGACGAATCCATTTTGCAAAGTGAAAAACTATAGTGAAACAAATAATATGCTTTAAAATTCTTTTTTATCAATTTTTTCCGTACTTTTCCACATGTTGTAATAAAGGATTCAAATTTGAAAGAAATGGTCCTTTGCGTAAATGAAAAGTGAAAGATACAGCATTTTTAAAATTACCTTTATCAGGAGAAGCTTTCAGAAAGACATATCACATTTATTACAAGATCTTTATGATATTTCTGGATCTTGCAATATTGAAATTCCAACAGAAGAAGTTTTTTAGAATTCTAACTACATTTGAAAAAGGAATAACATCCAAAATACTTAAAATCTTAAAGGAACTTTTTTTAGAGGAATAAAAAAGCCAGAGTGGTTGGTGTAACGAAAAAAGAAATGGCTACAGAAAACAAAAATTTCAAGAAATTATTATAATATATTTTCACTAAAGACGAAATAGCCAAATGAAAAAATCCTTCGAAAAGGTTTATAGTGATTTTTTAAGCAACAGATGTGAATGAAAAAGTTAAAGTATTATTTTTTCGCTGTAAAATGCATTTTTGAATAAAAGAATCAAATCAAAATATAAAATATAATATTTTACAAGATTTTTCCAGTTCATGAACAGGTATACATATAATCTAATAAATAACAAAAACAAAAAAATGAAAATAGCAAAAGAGAATACTGGGTAGATTACTCAATTGATTATACATACTGTAAAACAAAAACAAAAAATGAAAAGCGAAAAGCGAAAGAGAATAAAAAAAGAGTAGTAATATTTTTTTTGTTTTTTTGCTTTACTACCATAAACAAAAATAAAAAGCAAAAGGAAGGGAAATATTTTAAATGAGTTAAGTAAGAGTAAAATAATTTTTTGTTGTTGTATTTAACATGGAATGGAATTAAAAAAAATAAAACTAAAAATTGTGAGAGATATAAGAATACGAATAACGTTACGTTACGTACTAAGGCAATTATTCTTCGTGTGCTTGCGAAATTTCAATTGAGTAAGTAGCCAAGCCAGGTCTGTATAAAGAAAAGAGGCATTGATTTTTTATTAATTCACATTCACTTTGGTTTTAAAGTTTAACGTGAAAGGTACTATTTCCTTTCCTTTTAATTTTGTTCGGCATCAGTTCCCCATCCGTCTTGCATATGCTATGACTATAAATAAGTCCCAAGGGCAAACTTTTGAAAAGGTTGGCCTCTATCTCCCCCAGCCGTGCTTTTCGCATGAGCAATTATACACAGCATGTTCAAAAGCCATAGACTCCAATTCTTTAAAAATTCAAGTCAAAGATACGGTTCGTCAGGGAAAAATTGACGACGGAAATATTTTAACAGATAACGTTGTTTATAAGGAAATTTTTCGTTTTTAATTGTTAACTAATTCTTAAATTGAATTTTAATCATATCTATGTAATTAACAGTGACACATATTACATCTTAAAATTTATTAAATTAAAAATATTTCCATTACTTTTATTTATCATTAGTATTCAAACCAATATGATATTTATGCATATAAGTTAATTTACCTGGGGCTTCTTTATTTTAAAAAAATAAAAAAATAAAAAGAACTCGCAACCTTAATATTTTTTATTAATTAAATCAAAAAATTAAAACGCACAAAATTAGATTTTCTTCTTTTTTATTCCGTCCGATCTGTTTTAAATCTTAATTACAATTGAATTATTATTTTTATAATTTTTGTGTTTGACTCTACCTGTGCAACGTGATATTTTGTTACTTTCAACGTGATATTGTGTTGCATGGGAATTCGTTCAAAAATTCGTTCCCAACAAAATTGCTGACTCGGCGGCATGTGTTAACAGGGATGGCAAATAGGGTTTGATCAAAGTGCCAAAATTTGGGGAAATTTATTGTCACACTTTTTCCCGTGCCAGCACAGTACCAAGTACAGGTATGGTTAGGTAAATACAATATTATGACAAGTTGTAATAATATTTATTTATACATATGATAGTTCAAGGTATAAAAATTAATAAATACAGATAGAAAAAATATTAATTTAATTTTTTATCAGAAACTTTTTGTTTCATATTACTTGCAAGAGTTTTTATGTCGGGCTGGTACATTGTTGACTGCAGAGTAATACATGCTGCCGAATCTTCCGCTGTTAATCTGTTTCTAGTCTTTGAATGTACATGATTCAAAACGGAAAAAAGACTTTCGCAAGAGTAAGTGGAAGAGAAAATCGTTAACAACGAGATTGCTAATTTTTTGACAGAATAAAAGGTATCTGGCATACTATTCCAAGCTTCTAAAATTTTACTTTCCATGAAACATTCTGATTCCACATTTTGGGATCGATGGCTTTCTAAATCTTCAACAAGCTTCCGCATATTCACAAATTTATTTACCCAAATTGGATTGGATTGCAGATCAATAATTTGCATTTCTAAATTATCTAATCGCATCCAATTAAGGAGGTTATTGTCACAATCTTGCATATCAAATAAATCTGGGTAATTAATAATTTTTAAAATATTTTCGATCCTTTTAAAATCGAGAAATCTTTGTGCAAACTGTTGCTTAATAGAAACAAGAATATTTGTAAATTCATAGGTGAAATTCCAATTAGTTTTTTCAAAAATGTGTATTTCATCAAAAAAAACTTTTAGTTTTCGGAAATATTCAAATTTTCCAGATTCGATATCTCTAATGAAAATATCTAGTTTAACTTCAAACCCCTTTATAAGTCCAAACATAACTTCAATCGTCTTCCCACGCCCTTGCAATTTTTTATTTAGAGAGTTTAAATGTAATGTTAAATCAGTGAAAAACATTAATTTTTTTAGCCATTCTATGTCATCAAGTTCTTTAAAATCGGCCCTATTGTTTTCACGCAAAAACAGACGTATTTCATCCAAGCAGCTCACAAATCTTTCTAACGATATGGCCCGGCTCAGCCAACGCACGTTATTGCACATTAAAAGAGTGTCATATCCACAATCGACATCATTTAAAAGTTTTTTAAATTGTCTTTTGTGCATATCACGTGCAACAATAAAGTTTATAATTTTATTAACTTTTTCTGAAACTTCTTTTAAATCGCTAGTACCTACTTTTGCACAAAGCATTTGCTGGTGAATGATGCAATGAAATCTTATAATCGGATGTCCGACATGTTCTTGAAATAAATTAACAAACCCTGTTGCCGGACCAGTCATATTAGGTGCTCCATCCGTTGTAATAGAAACAATTTTTTTTAAATTGAGATTAAGGCTTTTTAATTCATTAACAACAACTTCACAAATATCTGCACCTCTTGTTCTTTCCGGTATATTTGCTAATTTCAACAGCTCCTCGCGTATTTCATTCCCTTTTGAATAACGTGCAAAAATTGCTAATCGGGCAGACGAGTTTATGTCAGTTGTTTCATCCAAACAAATTGAGAAGAAATCGCAACTATTAATATCGGTTTGAAGTTGTTCGGAAATATTAATGCTCATTTTTAAAATTCTTTGTTTAATAGTATTTCTACTCATCTGTAATTCTTGTATTCTTTGGAGAATTTTTTCCTTATTATTGAAATCTTGGAACAAACTGGAAGCAGCTTTTAACATAAGTGTTTTTATAAACGTTCCGTCAGAAAATGGTTTCGAGTGTTTAGCAATCAAATAAGAAATTTCAAAACTCGCTTCTGTTATATTATTAGGAGTTTTCACAAATCTTGAAAACAAATTTGATTGTTTTTCAACATCTTTTAATCGTTGTGATATTAATTCTCTTCTTTCGGCAATATTTTTTTCAGAAATTTCTCTGTGATTAGTTTCAAAATGTCGTTTAATAGAAGATGTTCGACATACAATAACTTCGGAACACAGACCACAACGACTCTTATCTCCATGTTTAATAAAGCCGTAATCAATTGTCCAAGATGGTAAAAAACTGCGAACATCCTGTAGTTTTTGTTTTTTTATTGGTGACATGTTAATGGGGTAAATAATTAAATCTAAAATTACACGATAAAAATTATATATATTTAAATAATGTTTATTTGTTAAATTAGTTCATTACCGAAATCAAGTTTAGAGCTGTAAAAATATTTAGCATTAGAAATTGGTCGATGTTTTTCATTCACTTTCTATTAGAAGTATTTTCAATTAAAAATAACGGTAAAAAACTAAACACGACACGTGTTGTGTAAACTCAGAAAAACAATTATGACATTCACTCTTGCTAACTTCGCTCCAAATGAAATATGGATAATTTTTCATACCCTAAAAACCACAACTTTTTTGTTTTAAAAAGAAAACTTCAAAGTTTACTATGTTTTTTCTTTTTTGAAATTTTTGAATACTCAATGCATTTTCAAAGCGGTTTGAATTTTTTTTCGTTTTCAATTTTTTTTCAATACTTTACTTAGTGAAGTGAAAAAAAAAACAAAAATAAAAAGAATATAACATTTGAATACATATGTTTGGTTTTGAATATTTGTCATTTCGCTATTAGGAAATTATCATTTTTAGGAAATTTTTCATTCAATCAATTTTTCAACGAGTTTTTAGATTTTTTATTAGAAAAAAAATCTATATAAAAATTTGTCGAGGCACAACTATAACGTGCCATCAAATTTTTTTTCCGTGCCAAGTTTGGCACGCGTGCCCTTTAATTGCCATCCATGTGTTAAATTATTAATTTTTAGGCTGTTAACTTTCGTTTCAAAATATTTCTCAACAAAATTGCTGATTCGGCGGCATGTGTTAACTCTTTATTTTAGGTTGTTAACTCTTCCCCCCTTATGACCAAATGTCCTCATTTGGATGCAGAAGTCAGAGTGTTTTTGTTTTACGGTCGGCTTGGCTAACTCCGATGAAATTGTGCTATAGATTCTTTGTTTCTCGCTAAAACCCAAGTTTGATGGCGAAGCTTTATCTTCAGGTTTTTTGACGACCTGTTCTTTCACATCAGCCTTAGCTTCTGGAGTGTTATTGATTATTAGTTTGGCATGTTGCTTTGACTTGATGAGAACGCATATAACTAACGAGCCTGTTACCATTACTATTAGTGGTCCATAGTTTATGATGTTCCCCATTAGCTTTTCGGTTTTTAACAATTTGATTTCCTTGGTGTTATTTATGTTAATCTCCTTGAGTAGTTCGAGTGAAAATTGATGGTGTATTTCTTCCTTCACGGGTTGTGGCTGTAAGATAGCTGGCAAAATTTTGATTGATGATGTTTCTCTTGTTTCAAATTTTTGGTAGCCAATCTTGATAGTTGCATTGAAGTATCTAACAAGGTAAGTTCCATTTAGTACGCGTGGTTCTCCGTTTATCTCAATTATTCCCTGAAATTGGTTTAGGAGCAGTAAGTCATCAGCAATCTCTTCCACTGAGGGGATGTGGTGATTGTTGACCAGGATGCAGGTAGAGTTTTCTCCCTTCAGCAGCTTTTTTTCACAGGTAGAGTCATTTAAATTTACAATATTTTGTTTTTTACATATAAATATATTTCCTAAGTTCTTACAATTGTTTTTTAAACCATACAAATCTGATTTATCTGATAAAACATTTTGCGTATCTATTTTAACAATATTTTCTCCTGTTTTTACAGGTTTTAATAACAATTTACTATAAACATTTTTACTTGTGAGTGGTATTTCTAAAAGATAAAATAAACAAGAATTATTAGTTATGATTTTAATATTTGCAAGATCTAATGCTTCCTCAGGATTATTGTAAGGAAAGTTTTCTTTTTGGAGTACTTGTGTGAGAGTGTTTATTTCTGATTTTGAAAGTAAAAAGGGATTTACTGTATTTGTTTTAGCCCAATGAATGGCGTATTTAATGTTCACTACCTCCTCTTTGAGGATCCTTAGTTTGTATTGAATTTTTAGAGCCTGGTAGTCGTTAAGTTTGTTTTCTGTTTTTATGCTTTCTAGTACTTGGTTTGTCAGTAGTGTTATGTTGTTAATCCTGTCTTGAAATGTTTTATTTATAATAGTCTGTCTGTTGTTGTTTTCTAGGATATTATTCATCCTTCCTTTGATCATGACAAGATCATCATGGTCAGGTGAACCAGCTATCCACTTCCAAGTAGTACCCAAGAAATTTAGAGACCTTTTTGCTATTCGGGTCGGTTTGAATTCGTCCAACAGGTCGTGTATTTGCTCCACTTCCTGTCGAAAATAAGGATATAATTGATGGGTCTTTATATTTTCGACCGTCAGCACTGTTTCTATCTGAGTCAGTATTGTTTGTAAGTCGTTCAAGTTCGTTACATGTATTAGTCTGTATGTCCCCTCTTCTATTTTTGCTTGTCCGACCTCAATTGCGATCATGTAGGATCCGGTATAGTCCAAAATTTGTACCTCTGCTAAGCTTTCGGGTATAAGTAATCTAAAATGTGCAAGAATTGTAAAATGTAAAAGAAATGTTATAAGGATAAGCAAGGTTACTATCAAAAGTTGAAAAATTCAGAAGAAATATTATGGGTAATAGAGTAATCAAGTGGCAAAATATCGGTATTGTTTAGGATTTTATATTTGATTTATGGACTACCCTACCAGACTTTGTAAGGATTGTCGTATTGTTATTTTTCGCGACTATTTCTTTCTTATATCTGAAGGTGAGTTTAGACCCTAAACGTTTATTATGTTTCACATAAACCACTTCACCTATTTGATATTGCTTTACCGGCCTTCTTTTCTTGTTGTGTGCTTTTAAGTCCTTTAGTTGTTGTTCTTTCAATTTTTCGATGTTAGAGAGCCGAGTTTTTTCGTATTCCTCGGGTGTGATGTTAGGGATTCTGCCTAGAAAGAGTTCTATGGGACACTTATTGGTAACTGTATGGATCGTGAAATTATATTTGTTTACTGCCATTTGTAGTAGTTCCTCAAAGTCTTTTGTTCCTTCCTCAGCTTTTGAGCAGCGCATGATTTCCGATAACGTAGAATGAAATCTTTCTATTTGCCCGTTTGTTTCACTTTTATACGGGGGAACCGTAAAGACTTTGATCCTCATTTCGTCTTCCATCATTGCTTTAATGGAGGCCGAATTGAAAGCCTTTTCATTGTCCATCACTACCCATTCTGGAATTCCATAATAGAACAATATATCTCTCAACGCAAGTCTAATGTCTTCGATTGACCTACTCTTTATTACCCTTGCCTGTGCAAATTTGGTCAATTTATCTATTGCTGTAATTGCCAACTTAGACTCTGTTGAAAAAATATCGATGTGTAGAGTGTGTCCAGGGAAACTCGGAATTGGTGTAGCTTGAATCTCTGGTCTGTTCGGATGTCTGTCGTATTTATTTTCTCTGCATATAGTGCAGATTTTTACTAAGTCCGTGATTTTTTTCCTCATCTGTGGAAAGTAATATTCGCGCGTGATTTGAGCCGCATTCTCTTTAGCGTTTCTATGAGCTCGTCTATGTGTCGTGATTATAATTTCCTTCTGTTCAGTTTCGTCTGGGACATCTTTAACGATTGTACTCGTGAATCTAATTTTATAGTTTTCGAAATGTTCTTGGTATAATTTTTGAATGCAACACATATAGCTTTCATCTGCTTTGATTGCGTTTAGGATATTTGGATTTAGATATTTTTTTAGAATAGTTTTTAAATCGTTCTCCGTAAAACTTTTTTGAGTTATGGTGTGTCTCGTATAATTTGGAAAGGGCTTTTCCAGTCCACAATCTTCTTTGAAGTCGGTTACTAGTATTATTTGATTGCGAAATGCATTTATAGGTGCAGTGACGCATTGGATGTGGTTGCGCGAGGAGCTTTTAGTGCTTAATTGGGTTATGGATAAGGTATTAACTTGTGAATCAGGTGTTAGTCTAGATAATGTGCCAGCCACCACATTTGTGTGGCCCGGCTTATACTTCAATTCGTAATTGTATTCCTCAATAATCGCTTTCCAGCGCTTCAATTTACTATTAGAGTTCTTGTTACTGAGCGCATATGTAAGCGGCTGGTGATCAGTATAGATTACGACTCGCTTCGCTCCGTACAAGTAATTTCTCAGATTAGTGAGGGACCAAACGATTGCCAGCAACTCCTTTTCATTTGTTGCATAGGATTCTTCAGCTACTGTCAGTGTCCTAGATAAGAAGGTGATCGGTCTCTTGTTTTGCGATAGTACTGCTCCGATGGCATAGTTGGATGCGTCCGTTGTCAATTCGAAGTCTTTGTCGAAATCTGGGTAATTTAACATTACCTCAGAAATCAAGGCATTTTTTAATTGCATGAACGCTTGCATTGCTTCCTCATTTAAACTTATCAATGTTTTGTTTGATTGGGACTTGGACACACGTCCCCCTTCCCCCCTTAAAAGCAGTGTAAGTGGTTTTGCTATGTTTGCGTAGTCACGGATAAACCTTCTATAATACCCGGACATTCCTAAAAACGATCTAAGTTGTTTCAAATTTTTGGGTGGAGGCATGTCGCAAATTGCCTGGACCTTTTTCGCGTTTGGTCGAATTCCGTCAGCTGAGATCAAAAATCCAAGAAATTCCACCTCGCGTTTGAGGAACTCGCTTTTGTCCAATTGGACTTTCATGTTAGCGTCCTCCAATGTCTTAAAAATGTCTCTTAAGTTTTCGAAGTGTTCCTCCTCGTTTTTTCCCAGTATCACAATATCGTCTATGTAAACATAACACTTTGTACCGATGTGTTGTCTTAGTATATCGTCGAGTGTTCTTTGAAATTGCGAAGGTGCGTTTTTCAGTCCAAAGGGAAGTCTTGTAAATTCATATTTTCCGTTGTTAATGGAAAACGCCGTTTTTTCTATATCACTCTCCCTAAGTGGTATCTGGTGGAAACCACTCTTCAAATCTATCACTGAAAATACTTTGTTTTTTCCCAGATTTGCTAGTACATCATTAATTTCGGGGATTGGGTATTTGTCTGGTATTGTGATTTTGTTAATTTTCCGATAGTCTATGACCATCCGGTATTTCCTTTCCCCTGAGGCATCCCCTTTTTTGGGAACCACCCATACGGGGGAATTATAAGGCGACCTAGATGGCCTTACAATACCATCGTCCAATAACCTTTGAACTTGTTCCTCAATTTCCTTTTTCAATGCCATTGGGTATGGATATGTCTTAGAGTACACGGGGTCATCGGATGTAGTGCGTATTTCGGCCTGTACTCGAGTAGTGTACGTGAGCCTCTCGTCAGGGTCAGCAAATAATTTTTGATGCTCATTTATAAGGCAATTTAGTTTCTTTTTCTGAAGTTCATTCAGATGAGAAGTCCTTAATTGGATTCTATTTACAGATTCAGAAACCTGTTGTTTAAACGGAATTTTAACATTATTTATGAGTTCCAGGTAGTTTTTATCCGTGTGAATTGTAACGTTCAGTTCTCTCATAGTGTCGTTCCCTAATATACCGTCGAAAAGTGTTAAGTTGGGTAGGATATAAAACTTTATTTTTGGAATTTCAGGAGTAAGGACATTAATAAAGGCGTGGTGCGTAACAATGACGTTACCACCAACCGAGTTTGCTAGGAAGTTTTCGTCATTTGGTATAGGATTTTGTATTAGTCGAGGATGTATAAAATTTTTGTTTGAGCCTGTGTCTATAAGTATTTTCAACAATTCCCCGTTTCCCGTTTGGTGTTCGATATACGGCAACGAGGAACAGTTCAGTCTAGAAAAGGATTACTGTTGTTTTTATTGCATTCGCACTTTTGACATGAAGCCTCTGTATTCCTCGATTGTTGGTTTGCCTTATTTCTTCCATCTTCATATCTAGTATAGTTGATTCTCTGTGTCATGTTATTATGGTAATTTTTGTATGGATTTGGTCTCCTGTTGTAGTTACTATTGTAATTCCCACTGAAATTTCTATTTTGATCGAATCGTGACTGTCGAGAATGGTGAGAATTTGCCGGTTCGACTTTTGTTGTTGGGTTTGTTTGTTCTTGAGGAAGATTGTTTTGGGCGTTATAAGTGTTTCGTGCATTGTGTTTTGTGTATGGGTTATTTGCATGAGGACGAGCGTTGTGTATGTTATTGTAGTTTTTGTTCTGTCCCCAAGAGCCTTGAGTGGGGTCGAATCGTGGTCTCGGTCTTGGGAAGCGTGAGCTCGATGAGTCGTACTGCATTGGCATACGTGTGTGAGGGAAGTGGGAGGTAGATGCAGTTGGTGCACCACCAGAGTGTTTGGGTGATCTAATTTTCATATGGTCGACTTTCAAAGCTAAATGCAAGGCATGTGGTAAATCCCTTGGCTCCTTTATGCTTAGGTGTCTCGGAAGATCACCGTTTAGTCCTCTTATAAAGGTATTTAGGGCCTTCCTCCGGTACATGTTAGTTAGCGCTTTATGTGCTTCCTGGGGCATTTCTTCTGGGGATAGCTTTTCGAAAATAAGGGAAAGGTGTTGGTAAATTTTTTTGTAAAACTCCTCGACAGTAAGATTTCCCTGTTTTGTTTCCGTCATTTCATGTTCCAAGGACTCGATGTCTCGCTTATCTGCATAGTGCAGATCGAGGCATTTTACTATCTTAGCCCAGTTCAGTGGCGTGTTGTACGATTCCAAGGCCACATCTGCGCTACCTACTATTTTGCTTCGTATGGTATGTAATATACCGAAATATTTCCCTGTCCCTTTTAAATGATAATAAGCTCTCAGAATTCTATCAACTCCCTTTTTCCAGGAGCCATACTCCCCAGGTTTTCCAGAGAATTCCCTGAGTGTTTTTACAATGTCGGGTACTTTGTCCATACTTTCTATATCCCCGCAAACAAAGTCTAGTTCCTCGTCAGAATCGTCATATCTGTCGTTCATGTCGTTACTAGTTTCTTCAAAGTATCTCTTTGCTTCATGTTGTACCATTTCTTTTATGGTACCCCTAATTAATTCACTGTTTTCTTGTAACGGTCTAGGTGTAGGTATGGGACTGACCACAGGTTCGGTTATATCGGGTATTTCAGGTGTAGATCTACCTTGAGGATAACCCTCGAAATTCACGTGAGTCATTGTTTCTTCTATTTCAAAATTTGAAAGAAATTAAAAAAATTGGAAAGGTAAGTGAAAGTTAATATAGGGGGTATGAACTACTTTTCAGTGCAATGTTAATTATTTTTTAATCTGAAGGATATTTACTAAATATTACATAAACTGTCTCACACCTTCGTTATGTTTGGAATTGAAAAAATTTCTGAATGGTATAAAACTTCCTTGAAACTTTCGTTACAAATGATCTATTAACAATTTATTATGATTTAGACGTCTTGTTTATTCTACCTTTCGTTATTCTATATTTATATAATTATTAAATTCAAACAATTGGTTCGTCGTAAAAACACAATTTTCTTGTTTATTTGTCTTCTAAAATCTATAAATTATTTATTTTATTGATTATTGTTATATTATTTTTTTTATACGTGTACAATTTTATATTAGAATTTTAGTTGTATGAAAAAGTATCCAGAATTTGACTTAAATATTTTTATTAATGAATGAAAAAATTTTATTTCTAATGAGAATGATTTATGTTTTATTTTTTGTTTTAGCAGAAAATCTATTATTTTATTTTCCTTTCTTTTGTATGCTTGTTTTCTTCTTATTTCAACAGTATTTTTTGTTAAAAATTTATGGTACGATAATTTGCTAGGATTTACTTACATACTTATTTTAGCCTTTCCTGAAAAAGGTATTTTAAATTTTTCTAAGTTCTAAATTAAAGTATTTAATTTATTCTTTAATTATTTTCGTTAAATGCAATTTTATTACAATTTATTAAACAAAATTTTGATTTGTATGGTTATTGTTTTTATTACTTTCTTATAATAAATGTGTTATTAAATATTAGTAGGTTAGTTAAAAATAAAATTAGTAAGTTATTTAGAGAAAAAGAAAAATGTAAAATCTTATTAATTCGATGAGGGATCCCTTGAAATTTCCAATATACTTGTTTCGATATAATATCTCATAAAAGCTTCTTTTTCCTTTAATTTTTTAGGAAATTGTTGACGAAGTCTTCTATGAATAAAAAATACTTGTCAATAAATTAATTTGTTCTGATACGAAACTTCTCTTTTCTTTTATTATAAGAAAATTGTTGACGAAGATTTCGAACAGAAATGATAATAACGAATTTATAAATCGTTTATGTTTTACTTCTTATTATTTTTTATATTATCTTAAGATTTTATAAAATTAATAATTTTTAGAATTTTATGTTTCTTGCAAGACCACTTTTAGTAATAATATTTCTTTTATTTTATTTCAAAAAAAAATTTTCTGTTTGATTTTAAAGTTTCTTTTTTCTGATAAAAATATATGTTTTTCTTTTCAGGTAAGTGAAATATTCCTGTTTAATTAACTATAACTTGACTTACATGACGATGATGTTAGTGAGCCCCATCTGAAGGATGTCCTGCAGTCTTTTATTGCAACGAGCAAGCGGCTGCTGTTAGCACTTGTTGGATTTTACTGTAATACCGTTCACCCAGACTCAGGTGAACATTAAGCCTTGTGTCTTTTGCGGTATCAGTTAATCTCTGTACTACAGCTCCTGTTTGTCCTCTGTTTGAAGACTACTAAGGGGCCTCTTTTCTTGCTCGATATGTTGCAATAAATTCAGTAATAAATTTACTTACTTGCTGCGCGGTATACGGAGGGGGGTTCTTCTAGTGCTGTTCCTTTTATTTCCTATGAATTTTATTTGTTCTATTGTTTCCAATTGATTTTTTATGATAACTAAAATTTTTTTTCAAAAGTTTGTTCTATAGTTTTATTTGTTCTATAGTTTCCAATTAATATTTTATGATAACTAAAATTTTTCAAAAGTTTGTTTTATTTTATGTCACTTCAAATGTTTTTAATTTCAGTTTGTTTTTTATAATAATATAAAATTTTTCAAAAGTTTATATTTTTTTTTCTATTTTATGGCACTTCAAATGTTTTTGTATTTTAGTATTTTTCTTTTCAATCTTATTTAGTTTATTTCACTATTCACCCCGGCACTCCTATACCTTGGGACGGTCCCTGCTCGGGCGCCAGTTAATTTACCTGGGGCTTCTTTATTTTAAAAAAATAAAAAAATAAAAAGAACTCGCAACCTTAATATTTTTTATTAATTAAATCAAAAAATTAAAACGCACAAAATTAGATTTTCTTCTTTTTTATTCCGTCCGATCTGTTTTAAATCTTAATTACAATTGAATTATTATTTTTATAATTTTTGTGTTTGACTCTACCTGTGCAACGTGATATTTTGTTACTTTCAACGTGATATTGTGTTGCATGGGAATTCGTTCAAAAATTCGTTCCCAACAAAATTGCTGACTCGGCGGCATGTGTTAAATTATTAATTTTTAGGCTGTTAACTTTCGTTTCAAAATATTTCTCAACAAAATTGCTGATTCGGCGGCATGTGTTAACTCTTTATTTTAGGTTGTTAACTTATACAAGTATATACCTGCATATGTATGCCATAATATGTACAAATTTTTCTAAACTTATTTTAAAATTGATTGCCACAATCCTGTTTTTACAACAGATAATGCTGCTTATAAGCAAACCACAGGGGCCCCTAGTATAAAATATAATATACAAAAAAAATTCTTATTATTTCTTCGTTTATTACACGTACAGTAGACATATTTTAAACAGATAACGTCAACATCAGATTTTTTCAACGAACATATTTTGCCAAAACGAATTAGAAATATAGAAAGAAGCATCTTTGTTTCTATCTCGCTTACACTCACTGAAAAATCGTATCTTAAAAAAAACATAGTAAAGCCAAAAACTTTAGGTAAGCCTCTTTCTTTGTTCCGAAAATTGTCAAACTGAAATCAACATTAAATACCAAAGGTTTTTTTTTTAGAAAATTATGTGCCGCTATATAAAAAGTAAACAAAGAAAATTTTGTTTATAAAATTAGTGCATTAGATTGTAAATAAAAAATTATAAAATATTTAATAATAGGTGTTAAAAAAAACAATACTATTTGATAAAAGCTTATAAAAAAAATATAACAAGTGAAAAAAATGTGTTGAAAAGGAAAAATGTGTATAGTTCTAAATAGTTACTCTCATTTGTAAAAACAAATAGTTTTATTACAACATATGCATACATGTGAATATACGTATTATTCATTTCAATAATTAAAAGAAATATTTATTCAACAGTGATTTGATTAATTCTAAATTTGTAATTTTACTAAGTTTTTAATTTTTGGAAAGGAACCACCTGTTTTAGTTTTGTTTTAAATTAAAAATAATTCGAATATTTTAATTTGGTCTTTTTTTTATATATAATTACAGTTTTCCTAGAAGTGATGAAATGAAATGAAAGTGGATTGGAATTATTAACAAAGAAGTTTGCATTTCAAATATTTTACCGAAATTTATAATTTTATTATTCATAGAATAAATTTATTCAAAGAAAAAAACAAATAATGAGTTTTGTTCATATTTTATTTCTTTTTTACAGATATTTAAAATGAAAAATACTTTATAGTATTTTGTAAAATATTTTAAAATATTTTTCATTTTAAAGCTCTTGTTACGACTTTGACAATGCTCGAAGCAACGAAAGAGACAACTAGGAAATATTTGTCTTCATTGTTTTTTCAAGATGCTCCTTCCTTTAGTATTCTAATTCGTTGTTTTGAAATCTTTATACCATGCTCAAAATGACAATAACGTCAAACTACATCGAACATTTAAACCATTAATATCTAACAAATCATATCGCAAATCGCAATCACACATTTTACATGAAGTAATAGCGACTCCTCTGAATTTTCCAATTTGAAAATTCTATGTGCAATTGCAATGAGTAATGTTCTGAATTCACAAATAAATGCATTTTTATTTTTTTCTGGTTTAAACTGTTTTGTGCAAAAATACATATATTGTTATTTAAATTTATTTGTTAATTTCAATTCTTGAATAAATGTAAATTTTAATAACAGGATTTACATAGAAAATTTATTTGCATGCATACCTTTTATAATAAAAGCACGGAAATAAATAAAAAAAGGGAATTCACAAATCTACATGCATACACATACGTATTTTTTTTTTCAATTGAATCTGACGTGGTTTTAAATTATAGAACAATCTTTCCTGATGCAATATGATGGAAATGAAAGAACAAGAAGAAGTAATAATAATGTGTTTCATAATTGATTTACAGAAATACTTATGTATGATTAATTTTAAAATAACTAATCTAATAACATTTTTCTATATCAGCTTGATATTGTGGATGAAAAAATTTCTTTCAAGTCAAGAATTTATCAAGACCAACTATTACAGCATGCCTTGAAAGAAAATGTTATTATTTATCTTCCAACCGGGTCTGGAAAGACATTCATTGCGCTGATGGCCCTAAAAGAAATGTCGAAAGATTTGGAAGGGTAAGAATAAAATTTAGAAAACCTTTTTCATAATTTATAAATTTATTTCTTTCAGAACTTTGGAGAATGGTGGAAAAAGATCTATATTTATGGCTAATACGGTTGCCTTAGCAAGGCAACAATTTCTTGTAGTTAAAAATTTTACAAGTTTGAAAGTACGCCTTTACACTGGTGATATGAATGTCGATAACTGGAAGCGAGAAAAATGGGAAATTGAACTTGATTCAACGCAGGCACGTAATTATTTCTGTTTAGATCTGTATGCATTTCATTAAATATTTACATGTATCATTCATTTTAAGATTAATCTCTTTGATTTGAACCCTATTGTTCAAAATTTAATTTATGTTTGATTTCTACGCCGTTTTCAGTGTTTGGTATAAAAACAAATTTCAATGCCTTAAGAAAATTATATACTACATTTTTATTACAGATTTATTCAGTGTTATTAACAATGAAATTTTTGAAACTTTTATGTATATTCAAATTAACTTCCTATGTATATTTGTAACGTATTACTTAGGTTATTGTAGCTACAACGCAGATAATATTAAATATTGTGCGTCATAAATATTTATCAATTAATCAAATAAATCTGATGATATTCGATGAGTGTCATCATGCCACCAAAGGTCATCCCATGTTACAGTTAATGGGGCAATTCGCAGATGCCTGTCAAAAAAGCTTACCCAGAGTTATTGGTTTAACTGGAATTCTTATCAAATCAACAACGGACAATATTATTGAAGAATTAAAAAACCTTGAAGCTGTATTTCGTGCTAAAATAGCTACAGTATCATCTTTTAACCATCTTCAAAATGTTTTACTGTAAGTAAACTGGTTATTTATTTTGAAAATTTGAATTTCGTAGATTTGAATTTTGTCTTTCTATTAAATTATAAGTGATTAAACTATTTTATTAGCTCAAATAGAAAATTTACCTACTCAGGTACTCCACAAAACCAAAGGAAGTACTTATAAGCTTTGATGACATAGATTCTAAACATCGTATTACAAACTCCATTCAACAATTAGTTTCAGAATGCATTTCTAAATTTCAAGATTTCAAAATAGATGAGACTCATTTTGTTTTGACTAAAAATATGGAAACAACCCGCTATATTAATCCCATAAAGAAGATGAAAAATTTGTTAGAAGATTATGTATATCAGCTAAATGACCTTGGTTTGTATGGAGGTTATATTGCCATGCTATCTGTTCTAGTAGAAGTTGAGTTGAAAAAACGAAGGGCGGAAACAATCGCTTCCAGAAATATGTATAGAATTATAATTTCGTATGTAGAGCGAATATTGCATTTGCTCAGAAATACTATATTTGATGCAGACGATGAAACTGAAACAGAATTAGATGTTATATATGATACTTCATCACGCAAAGTAGTTTCGCTACTGACATATTTAAAAAAAGAATTCGTAGGGAAAACCACGTCTGATATTAAATGCTTGGTTTTTGTTCAGAGACGTCATACAGCTAAAAACTTACATCACATAATAAAAAATTTCGTAAAATATAACGACAATATTCCTGTCATAGCAAATTTTATGGTAGGAGTTCACGAATTATTACCAGAATCAATAGAATGTATCTTAGAAAGAAAAACAAATCGAGAAATTCTTAATAACTTTAACAAAAACGAATGCAATCTCATAGTTGCATCAAGCGTTTTAGAAGAGGGCATTGATATACAATCATGTAATTATGTGATAGTTTACGATGAATTAAAATCATTTGCATCATATTTACAAACAAAAGGGCGGGCACGCATGCAGGATTCTACATATATTATGATGGTGGGAAATAGTAAAAAAAATGGATTAATATTAAAAGTAAAGAAGTATCAAGAAATTGATCTGAAATTGAAAAATTATCTAATCAACAAAACCATAGATCGCAGCCTCCCGCTTCAAGAAGAAATAGATAAACAATTCGAGACATTAATTGAACCATTTTATAGCAAAATTGGAGCAAAACTTGACGCTGATGTTGCTATACCTCTTTGCAGCAGGTATTGTGATTCATTACCAAATGATGCGTACACTATTGCATCCCCAAAATATTCTAAAATTAATACAGGAAACGAAAAGAAAAGAGTAAAATTATTATTGCCCCTGCAATCAACAATTAAAGAAGATATAATTGTAAGATAACTATATTCAAATGAAATTATTAATAAAAATAAAATATTTTAAGAGTGATGAAATGCCTACTATCAAATGGGCCAAGAGATCTGCGGCATTTAAAGCTTGTATAATGTTATATCAGAAGGGCGAGTTAAACGACCATCTTTTGCCAGTAAGTAGAAAGCAATGTCTCGATTATCACCAATCAATTTATTTCAAAGAGTGGCAAAAATATCCTGACGGTACCTTTTATTTTATTTATAAAATGTTCTTATTTTCATTTAATTTTGTTATTCAAAATATTTTTCTAGATGACAAATATTTAGCTGGACATAGAAAAAATCGAAGAATTCATAATTTAAACTTCCCTAAACAACTATGCTCCAATGAACCTGTTTTGGGTAGCGTCTGTTATTTTTATACAATCAACATTTTGCCAGAATTCGAAAGAAGTGATGAAAATTATCACGTGTTCGATTCTTTGAGTAACAAAGCAAATTTTGCCATCCTTTTAGTAAATAAGCTGCCCAAAATCGCTCCGATGCCGTTGTTTATGTCGCAGGGGCGTGTAACTGTACAAATTTCAAGTCGTCCTTACGAAACCGTAATTTATAACAGAGAACAGTACATAAAATTAAAAAATTTTAATACTATGTTATTTAGAAAATTAATTAAAGATACATGGTCAAGTAATTATGCACAAGATTTTCGAAATGCAGAAAATTCGTACATTATCGTACCCACAATTAACGGTGAGAAAATAGATTGGGAACTTGTAGAAAGTATTCAAAATATCAATGATGTTAGCAAAATCGACATAATTCAACGTAAGAAAATGAATATTAGAGCAGAAGATTATTTGCATAACCTTGTAGCAACGTGGTACACATCAGATGATTCTGTAAGATTTATTGTCACAAAAATACGTAGAGATTTAACCCCTCTGAGTCCTTTTCCGGACGGCGCACATGAATCATTTGTTACATACTTGCAAGATAAATGGGGTCAAAAAGTAATTCAAACAAATTCATTTATGCTGGAAGTTGAACCATTCACATCTCGTATTAATTTTTTAACGTACAATGAAGAAAAAAAGAAATCAAAGCGTTTTAATTCTATATTATTAGTACCTGAACTAGTGCACAATTTTAATTTTCCTGGTCATTTTTATTTAAAAGCAAGGTTTCTACCATCAATTTTATTTCGTTTACATTATATATTAATAGCCGAGGAGATAAGAATTTCTCTAAACAGTTTTTTAAATATTGACTCTAAAAATTATGATCCAAGACCTTTAATAGTAGATAAAACATTGCTTCGAGTAAAAAAATGCGAAAAACCTAAAGAATTCTCAAATTTTTTTGATGAAAAATTTGAAGACAAAAAAGTTAAACGAATTGAGCAAAATAGAAATCAAATATATAATTGGCGTGAACACGAAGAACCCTGCGACCTTGCAAGAAATATTCAGAATTTGTACAAAGTCGATGTTGATTATTTTCACTATTTTATTTCATTACAAAAATTTGCTGAATTGACTATAACTGATGATAATGAACAATTTTCTGTTATAAATAATTTGAAGCTTAATAAAAAGGATCTTCCAACTACATCGAAAAATGCTATATGCGATGTTAATATGAGCGAAAAAACTTTTATAAGCATTTTAAATGTTGATGATAATTGTTTAAAAAGCCCAGAACAGTGGGAAATACTTTGTGCAATTACGGCGGCAGGAGCAAATGATGTTTTTGACGGTGAAAAATTGGAAGTATTAGGAGATTCATTTTTGAAATTTAGTATTTCTTTATGGTTACTTCACAAACATCCTTCTTGGAATGAAGGTTTTCTAACGGAAGTTAAAGGTCAATTCACTAGCAATAGGAATTTACTCTATCACGCTATTAAAATGAATTTACCTGGTAATTTATTTTCTTTTCTATTAAGCGTGTCTTAAATCCAATTTTCTATGTATTTCAGGGGCTCTATATACTAAAGCATTTAAGCCTAATAGTGAATGGAAGCCACCATCCATTAATATACCCAAAAATGCTGAAGAACTAGTTTGTCGCGATGATATATCACCTTCTGTTTTTACTGAGTTGGAATTAAATATGGAAGAAATTTTTACTGGAAAGTGTAGCGAACAAACTTTGATTGATTTTCAATCAAAATTTTCAAATTATGAAAACTATCCAAATAATGAAAGTGATATGTCATTTTTATTAAACAAAACATGGATATCCGATAAAATTTGCTCTGATGCCGTTGAAGCTATATTAGGAGTGTGCATAAAAATTTATGGCGTGAAAAAAAGCTTTCTTATGCTGGAATATTTCGGAATTATTCCGACAACTCCAGATTTAATTAATCTCCTTAATATAGACCTTGGAAATCCCAGATTGCGCACTGATATTACCGATAGAGAGGTGGATTCATTTCTCCTGAACTTTCAGCAGTTGGAAGCTAATTTGGGATATAAGTTTCGTGATCGCGCATACTTATTACAGGCTCTCACGCATCCATCATATCCTACAAATAGATTAACAGGTTGTTATCAACAGTTAGAATTTATAGGTGATGCAATTTTAGATTTTCTAATAACATGTTATATATTTGAAAGATGTGGCGATATGGATCCTGGAAAATTAACTGATTTACGGTCAGCTTTAGTTAATAATGTAACTTTAGCTTGTTTAACTGTTAGGCATAAGTTTCATTTATTTTTGCTATCACAAAATGCTGCATTGACACAGAGTATAATAACATTTACAGAATTCCAGGCTCAAAATAATTTTAAAGTTACAGACCAAGTAAGAATCTTAATGTTAGAAAATGAAGTAAATTCTAAGATGGCTGACTACATAAATGTTCCTAAAACATTGGGTGATATTTTTGAAGCTCTTATTGGTGCAGTGTTTTTGGATTCTGGAAATGATCTTAACACCACTTGGAATGTGATATTCAATCTGATGTCGGTAGAAATATATGAATTTATAGCTAATGTTCCAATTCAAATAGTCAGGCAATTGTATGAATATCATGGATCTGATCCAATATTTGACAGTCCTATTGTGGATGATGATGTAATTATGGTGAAGTGTTCCTTTACCTGCCGAAATGAACGCATCGAAGTGCATGGTTTCGGCAAAAATAAAAAGGAAGCAAAAGTGTCTGCGGCAAAATCTGCATTAAAACATTTGCAAAATTCTTAAAATATTGTTTTTATCTTATGAATTAGATTAAAATATTTGTGTATTGTTTCTTTTTTTTCTTTAATTCAGATGATTTTGCAATAATATAAAACTATGTACAAGAAATTAATTAAGATTTCTAAAATATAGTTTTTTAAGACTTTTTTTAAAAATCTCTATATTTTGACTTTATTTTATACCGAATTTGATAAGATTATAATCATTTTAAAATTTCTGCAAATATATATGAAGGTGCATTATATATGTATTTAGTAATCATAAGAAATAGGCAGTAAAAATCGCGGAACATATAACCACTCGGAATATATAAATTTAAATTTTTTTTTAATTAAAAATGAATATAGGTAATTATATTATGAAAAAAATTTTCCTTATACCTAAAGAGTTTTAACTCTGTTGGGTATAAGGAATATATAATAAACTATCGTTTCAATTTTCCAAAGAACTAGATATAATAAAAACTTTGTCCTTAATATTATTATGATTCAAAATTTCTGTTTCAAATTTCATTCCTGTCTTATAATATTAGGCTTCTTCATAAACACATTATATCGAGATACACACAAACAAAAATTGCGCTTTATTTGTGTTCATAAACAAAAGTTGCTAATTTTTAGCAATGCAGCTAAATTAATATGAGTAGTTCATTCTACATAATGTGTATGTACATAGTTATAAAAAAATATTTTGCAATGCTGCAAAAATATAACGTGATGAATATTGCATATTCATCACATTATATTTTTGCAGCATTGCGCTTAGGATACTCTCTATTCTTTTAAGGTACTGTTTTGATTTATTTTACTAAAATAATGCATTGTCAAAAACATCTGAATTCCAAATTATAAAAATTTACGGAAAAGGGGTAATTAGGTAATCCCATCATTAGAAGGAAAATGAGAGATACACTGTACCACCAGTCCGAGTTATATGTGCATCCGCTGAAAAATTCGTATTTCTGTAACATTTCTTTCTTATCGTTAGCATTTTTTAAATTGTGTGATAAGTGAAGTGTTTTGTGAAAGCAAAAATAAAGCAAAACACTTATAACTTTAATAAACTAAAGTAATTGAAAGGAATTGAAATATTTGGAATATACACATGAAGACCTGCACTAAAAGCTGTACAAATACAAAAATTTTCTTTAGATATAAAATGCATATAAGTAAAGTTTTTTTTTCTGAATATTACTTAAATTATTTGAAGTTGAAATTGTAAACTTTTAACAGACTGGTTTTCAAGTGACGTAGTTTTATGGAAAAACTTTATTCAAAATAAGTCTGGGACAAGAAAGTGTTTAAAAACTTTTAAAAACTTTATAAAGTTTTTGCATGCAAACTGTCTGGGATAATACTTTTTGAACAAAAACGAGAGAAAATGATGACATTCCATTTTCTTGATGTTTAAAGTTTTTACAAGTTTTGTAAAGTGACATTTAGTGTTTTAAAAACTTTTCAAATCTTACAGCTGTCGAAATATATGTTTTTCTTGGTTATGTTTGAAGGTTTTATTTTTCATCAACAATAATTTTTTTTCAAAACATTTCAAACCAAAAAGGGTTCACAAATGGTTTTTCTAAGTTTCACACTTTTATAATTCAAAATCAAAACTTTCGGTTTTTGATATAACCAAAAAATATTTGTTTATGTTTGATAAATACTTATAAATTTCACGTTTATAACATATTTATAAAGTTTTTAAAAGTTTTTTCAAGTTTTCTGTCTAGTTTATTTTTGTTTAAAGTGAGAATTTTTTTAATTGTTTATCTTTTAAAGTTTTTACAAGTTTTATCGCAGACAGACCGAATATCAATACGTTAAATTAGCAAACAGGAAGTCATGGCTATACATAGCAGAAATAAATTACTTGCCCGGCTTACACTCTAGCTATTATGGAAAGAGATGTAGAACATTATAGGATTTTAGAATAGATTTGAAAAATTTTTGAAACTCTACTGCCAGTCAATGGGCGTGTACCAAAATATTAACTTTTTGACGTCAAGTATACGTTTTACTTTTTAGTAACCAAAATTGTTACAAAAATTCAAAATCTACTTTTACAAATGTCAATATTTAAAAAAAAATTTCGAATGTTACCATTACTTAATTATTTTTTTTTTTCTTGGAAAAAAAATACATATGTTTTTTGCATACATGCATACACATTTTCATTTCGAGCTTTCTATGAAAAAAAATAACTTTTATATTAAAATATTTCACATTTCATTTTAATACCTATAAAATAATTTTTATATGAAAATGAAATGTGAAGTTATCGAAGAAACATCAAAAATTCAAATTTCAACTTGAAATTTAATTTCGATTAAATAACCCCAAATATAATTTCGTTTAAATATATTTTCGAGTTTTTTCTGCATTTTTATTGAACAGCCAAGTCAGGCTTTTGTGTTGTGTGTCAGGCTTGGAATTTTCTCACATTTGTAGAATGACACTGATGAAAAAGTTATGTTATATGTATGTATGTACAAATTTCAAAAAGTATTTTAAATAATTCATATACACATTTAATTATGGTTCGAAAATTAGCCGTTGTGAGTTGATCCTTATAATAAGGATGATAGACGTGCAATAAAAATATTAAAGAAACTTGTGTTAAGTTTTTAAGTTTCCTGACGAACTAGAAGAAAAATAGCATCATATTTCTCTTTAATTTGATTAAATGCATGTATTTCTATTATTTTTGGTATAAAATTTTCTAATATGTACTTACACCTAAACTCACATACATACATACATATGTAAATTTCTAAAGAATTATATGAACTTTTAATTATATTTGAAAAATGATTTACATATATGAATTGTGAAGCTTATGGAAAACCAAATATACATAATACTTATTTGTGATTATACAAGTATAAATGCGTTAAGTGGAAAACATAATTAGTAAAACTTTGGAAATTAAATCTCTAGACTTTTCACGCATACTTACAAATCTACGGAAAACAAGAATTTTTTTTTTTGATTTGTAATAATCGAGTAATATTAAATTTTTTGTTATGCTCTGCTTCCAATTTTTAATACTTTTGCTTTAGTTATAAAAAAACTTAAAAAATCCTTTCGCAGATTTTGTAGTTTGGATATTTGAGCATACTTTATAAGTCCTAAGTCAGAAGTGGGTTATCAATATTCTGCTTATTAATATCAAAAAGTGTCATAGTTTCTGAAATTCGTACAAAACTCGGCGCAATGTGTACTAAACAAAATCCCACATGTTTTATTATCTTTTCTTGTAGTGCAGCATGTACTGCAATCAAAAAAAAAATTAAAGTCTGGAAGGTTTTTTTGAACTCAATTTTTTAATGTTATTATACAAAATTATTGAAATATTACAACTAATAAAATAGAAAAAATTGCATTTTAACTTTTCGTAACTAAAAATTAAAAAAAAAGTTAATCCTGTGATAGATTTATAGTGTTAAAAGAATTTGCAAAGCATTTTGCACTAGCAAAAGTTAAATTTTCAATCCAGTTTTTTTTTTCAATTCTTGTATGAACAAGAATAAAACATTAACAATTCAAATATTAAGATATCAATAATTCGAATAAAACATTTATAGTTGTTTCATGTATACGTTGACACATACATATATGTATTTGTATGTATGTAATTTTAGAACAAATAGCTATGTATATCAAAAGAAAAACATATTTCTTAGGTGTTATAGAAATTCATGATTAAAGTCTTATAGTCTTAAACTAAAACGCTGTTTTACTTAAATATTCTTAATACTGTAAACACTAGATTGTCTTATAAATTCATCTAATTTGCTCTTAAATAAATCTGATGTTACAGGAGCTCCTGGCACCCATAGAGGATCTCTTACTACATACTCAACCCATATTTTCGAATATAATTGCTGCAAAACTTCTTTTACATTTGTTGAGACAACGTCTGTATTTATGACAAACCTAAATTATTAATTTTTTTTAATTATGGTAAAGATATTAATAATGTATACGTAAAACATACTTCAAACCTGAAGGTGTTTCAAAATAGTGCAATGCATATTTACTCGTTTTGTAATTAAGAAATCCATCCTTAGGATCCGTTGGCGAAATTTTGTTTACAAAAGATTTAAGTGAAAATAGCATACCATACATCAATTTTGCTTCCTACAATGTCGACGTATTTATTAAAAAATATAATATAATAGTTTATGAAGTTGCATACCTCCTCTAATGTTATACCAGATTTTTTTAAACGATTCCATTCACCATAATACAGTAATGTGCCATATTTATCAAAAATATACAAATTGTAAACAGTCATTTTTAATTTTTATACAGATTAGGGATTGGTTGCTTCTAATATTCTAATGTAAATATATATTATCTATGATCTTTTGTTACTTTACAATCGTAAACAAAAGTGCGTTATTTTTGACAAGGTTTATTAACTCTTCGCTTTTAGTTGAGCGGATTTTTTTTAATTACATTATATTAATAACTTCAATTACAACTATTAATAATAGTGACGTTTTAAAATTCTCAACGTTACATGTCAATTAGTATGCGTTTACACGTCAATCATAGATTAACAATCATGATTGAGATTAATGCAAACGTTATTCTTGCTAGACATATCGCCATCTGTACGTCCATGGCAGTTACCGCAAGGTCGTACAGGCTGGTGTGCAGGCCAACTTGGCGAAACTTCACGGGTCCCATGGCTACTCTGGAGGCATTTATTGAACTACTGCCGTTACACCTCTCACCTACAATGTGCGTGAAGCTCGACTAACAACTTACCGATTTCTTACTGGTGATGATAACGTAATGAGAAAATAGACACACGGCGCTCATAGAGCTTTCGTCGCGAGTGACTCTGTTCTCGAAATAGCCTTCTCGGAGATCTGTCTCCGCTGTATAATTTCGATCCGGGTTACGAAGTAGGGTTTCCTAATCGACGCATGTGGGAACAAGGTCGTCCAGTTTTTGGGACTATATCTGAAGTTTAGTAAACGAATTGGTCCAAAACGTAAAAAGAGGTTGCCTCGGGTGTGTACGGATTTGGGCCGAATGCACGCGTAAGCGCGAGCCTGGATACGCGTTACTAACGGATGCAGGTTGACAGAGATTGATTGCAATGTAAACCTAAATACGCAATGTGTCATCAATTTTCATCAATGTCAATCATGATTTTCAAAAAAAGCTGCACTAAAAATAAAACGCATATCAATTTCATACAAAATGCATCAATTATTGCGAAACTGTGGAACCAAAATATAAATTTACTTTATCACATTAGTCTACACCAGTATTTGATTAGTACACATAAATTAATGCATCAGTTTGTACCTCAGTATCTTTAAAAAAAGTCCTACAAGAAACATAAATTAAAAAATAACTCATTGCTGCGTTTTTACTACTTAATCACTACTAATTATTATAATTGAACTAAAGTTATCTAAAATAGCTGATACTTAGATTAATGTAATTTAAGCTGTTAACTGCTGTATAATTGCACGCATAAATTAAGAAAATTTTACTTACAGTTTAATTAAACGACAATATTTCGTTTGGCATTAAACTTTGTTGGCAGCAAATAATAGAAATTAATCTATTTGCATCTGAATTAACTAGGACACACGAATGTCGTGTGTTCTAGTCTAAAAAATATAATTTCTTTTTAATATAATAATTTTTTATTCAGTATATTATTTTTTTATTTTCGTTTTCATTTTTTACTCTAATTTTCTTAGATTATGTTGCCTGAAAGGCGGTTCAAAAAAAGCGGGAAATACTAAAAAATATATTTAATCAAAATTACAATTAAAATTTGAAGTTGAAATTTGAATTTTTTAATATTACTCAGCAAACTCCAAATTGCAATTAAATATAAAAATTGTTAGATTTTAGTAAATTTTTTTGCATAGAAAACTCGAAATGAACATGGGCAAAAATTATAATTTTTTCAGAAAGAAAAAAAAAAGGATGATTTAAAAATCTCATTTTGCTATAAATATATTCACACTCACATATATTTACAAAAACAGAAGGCCTCTTCTGTTCGTGAAGATGCTTACACTGTCCGCGGACACCACATTGTCGCCAAACCAGCGGAGATCCTCTCCAATCGCAACCACCTCGCCTTGAAAAATGCTACAGTAATCTCGTAAACGAAAAACGGGCTCAACTTCTAATTGCCCGGAGTAAACTTCCCTACCTACCTTTCCGTCAAGTTTGGATCTAACCGTATAAAAAGGGATGGAGCCGTCCCCAACATCAACTTCGTCCCGCCAGTTTTTTCTCGGCAGGAAGAAGGGTTCAAAATTTTTCACGAATAAAAGCACGGGATTAACAAAATCAATTTGCCGCGGGCTCCCGTTCTTAGACTAGCCTTTTATCGTCCTCTGGCTTCTGGGTATTATTGTCTATGATAACTTGATCACGAAATTCCGTTTCTCCAAAGAAGCCGATTCATTGTTTAAAACCAAGGCTTGCTTCCTCCAGTTGGCGTTTGGCAAGCTGGAATTCCTTAGTTGTTTCATCTTTAAAATGTTTCCATATTTGGCGGTTCAACTGGGATCCAGCCACGAGGCCACGGTCTGCTTGGAACCCCCACGTCTGTTGGGGTTCCTGTTTCATCATCGATTTCGCGCCAGTACTCTTCGCATTTCTGTTATTTAGCCTGTGCTTTCCCTTCTCGCTTCTCTTCTTTTTTCAACTATACTCTTTGCCCAGTTGTACATAAACCTTTCTTCATATGACCCATCCTATTCCAAAATACGGCTATTCCTTTCCAGATTCTTGAAAGCTGACCGCCGTTCTCGGTAGGCGCTTTGTGAGGCCATGATAGTTGATGCTGTTGGCGCTCTTTATTTGCTCTGGATAGTCTGGCTTCGTGCACGGTAAATTGTTAGGTACAATTATCTTTCTGGAAACTGTAACCAATAAAGTAAAAACACGTAATATTTATTTATTAGCTAACAACTACAACATTATTAAAAATTAATGTCATTATATCAATAATTTGTTGGGAATCACTTAACAATACGCGGATATTATTTTGAATAATATTACTTAAATCTATTAACTTATATCTATATTAAATTATTTATAACTTCTATTAACTTATATTTTATATTAAATTAACTCATTAAAAATACCTTCTATACTATATTAAATTAACTTATTAAATTACTCATTTTTTTTTTCTTAAAATATTTCTTTAACTTTTTTATTCAGTTCAATTTGTTTATTTACTTTAAATTTAGTGCGAAGTGCTATCATCTGGTATGGCCTTAGCAACACTAAAATTTTGACAGATGATCTAACAAAAAGTATGATAAGATCCGAACACAGTAGATATAATTCCCAGTTTCCGATAATATATCGCAAGGTGCGATATTAATTTTATTTTTTAGCTTATAAACGTTCATTAATTACGTACGTTTCATTAATTTTTTAACCTTCGGATAATAAATGACTCTAGTCTAGACCATATAATTTTTACACATTTTAAATATATTGTTCTTTACTGACGGAAGTAGATGGTATACTGTCGCATTTGCCACATTGAGTACTCAAGCTTCACATTTCAATTTATTCTAAAATAATATGTTTTATAAATGATTTACATTTAAATATTTATTACATTTAAATAAGGTAAAGCATCTGGCATTACATAAATCTTTACCGTATAATATCCTTTTATATTTTGAATCAAAATGTTATGAATATACATACATATGTATGTACATATATAGTGCTGTTTGATAAAATATTTGAAATAAAAACTTGTTCACTCCAATTTCTTTAACATTCATTTTGCAATCGACTTTTTTCATTTAATCATTTTTATGAAAATAATACACTAATTCTTCGAGTTACGACATCTCCTAATATGAAGTTTCTAGATACGAAACTGCATTTTATAATCCAAAATTAAAATTTTCGGTTTTTTGTATAAGCAAAAAAATATTTGTTTATTTTTAATAAATATTTAAAATTTGAAGTTTGTTAGATTATGCAAAAATCCGAAATTTTTGATTTTGCGTTATAAAAGTGTGAAACTTAGAAAAATTTTGTTTATTTTATTTTTAATTAAAAAGTTTTGAAAAAAAAATATTGGTGTTAAAAATATTTTTTGGCCAAAAAGTATTACCTCAGACGCTTTGCATGCAAGAACTTTATAAGTTTTTAAAAACTTTCTTATTCATCATTATTCATTTAACTATCATTTTTATATTTAATTTTTTTATATTTTAAATTAATAAAGAATAAAAAACAGAATTTTTGTTTTCATATATTATTTCTCATCTTCTTGCGGCAGTTCGACATACAACTTAAATTTTTGGTCCCAACAATGACGTATCTAGAAGACTTAGTGCATATAAAAAAAACCACTTTAAATATCGTATGGATATTTAAAGTGGTTACGCAATTTTAAATACTTCTTCTTCTTTTCATTCCTCTCCTATCAGGAGGTTGGACACCATCATTCTGCATGAGCTTCTGGATCTCACTCTCGACATGACTTGATTGAAGGGAAGGTTGCACCAATCCACAAGATTTTTGGCCCATGTTTTTTTGGTTCGGCCCCTGCCCCTTGACCCGCACATTCTTCCTTGTAAGGCCAGTTGGAGAATTTCATACTTGTCGCTTCTCATGATGTGACCCAGATACCCAAGCTTCCTCGCTTTTATCGTCTTCAGCAGCACTTTCCCCGTGTTCATTTTTCTGAGCACTTCTACATTCGAGACTCTATCTTGCCACGCTATCTTAAGAATTTTTCTATAGCACCACATCTCGAAGGCTTCCAGATTCTTTACTTCGGCCTGCTTCAAAGTCCAGGTCTCAACACCATACAACAAATAAGACCACACGTAGCACTTCAACACTTTCACCTTCAAACTGAGATTTAGATCCCCGCTTGTCAGCAGCCTAGTCATTTTGCAGAATGCCGCCCTGGCTTGTTGGATTCTAGCACGAACTTCAGTTTTGTTGGAAGCGTTGTCTTCTATAATAGTACCCAAATATCTAATTGATCTCACTCGTTCGATTTTCTTGCTGTTTAGACGTAACTCGTTGCTACCTGTGCCACTTCTTGCAAACACCATGTATTTTGTTTTTTGCACATTTATTTTTAGTCCATAGTTTTTGCATTGGGTATTTATGGTATCTAATAGTACTTGCAATTCACCCAAGCTATTGGCGATGAGTACAGAGTCATCAGCAAAACGAATATTATTTATTATTTTTCCATTAATGCTAATACCCGGACTCTCATCTCCCAATATATGTCCAAAAATATGTTCAGCATATAGGTTAAAGAGTAATGGAGACAATATACATCCTTGCCTAACACCTTTCTTTATCATTATTTCTTCTGACAAGCCATCTGGTGTTCTTATCTTCGCAGATTGTTTCCAATAAAGGTTTTCTATTATTCTTATATCTTTCCCATCCAGATTTGCGTTCTTTAACATCTCGACCATTTTAACGTGCTTCACATTGTCGAATGCTTTTTCAAAATCGATGAAGCAAGCATGCACCTCAGAATTTACTTCCATACTCCTCTGCAATATTATATTTAGCATAAATAATGCTTCTCTAGTACCAACAGCATTTCTAAATCCAAATTGTGTCGCACTTATGCTTTCTTCCAATTTTCGAAAAACTCTGTTGTGAATCACTTTCAAGAATATTTTTAATGCGTGTGACATCAAGCTGATTGTTCTGAAATCCTCACATTTAGCAGCTTTACTTTTTTTCGGCAGTGCAACGAAAGTAGATTTCAACCATTCATCAGGTATAACCCCGGAGTCGTAAATTTTGTTGAATATTTTTACCATTATGTTTAAACCTCTTTCGTTTAATAATTTTAGAATTTCGTTAGGAATATTGTCTGGTCCAACGGCTAATCCTTTTTTCACTTGCTTCAGCACCACGCTGATTTCGTCACTCAATATTTCAGGCCCGTCGACATCCTCTTGTGCTGCCTTATCTGGTCTTTCATCTTCAAATAGTTTCTCAACATAATTTTTCCACATTTTTAGTCTGGCCTCCGGATCTGTGATAATTTTTCCCGTTTTGTCTTTTAGTACTCCTTTGGTGTTTTTTTTTTATCCGAATTCGTGATACTTTTTATTTTTTTATGTAATTGAGCGCTGTTTCCTATTCTATCCAGATTCTCGATTTCTTTACATTCATTTTCCCAATAATGTGTTTTCGCATCTCTAATTTTTCTTTTTATTGTTTTGTTAATTTCTTTGTATTTTGCGTGATCTATTTGTTTCCATCTTCTTCTCTCTTCCATCATGATTAGAATTTCTTGGGTCATCCATTTTGTCCTGGCATGTCTTTGTTCTACGTTTTGCAAATCTTTTACGGCTTGGTTGAGCGGTGTCTTGAAGTGTATCCACGCCTTGTTGCAGTCGTTCTCTCCATCTATCGTCTCCTCCATTGATTCTAGTTCATCGTTGATTTTGCTGGCGATTCTATTTTTATTTTCGCTGTTTTCTAAAATGTTGAGATTGACCGTGATGTTTCTATTTCTCCTAAATAATTTCTTCAGCGTGACTTCAATTTGTGCAGCTAGTAAATTGTGATCCGATATACATCAGCTCCAGGATACGTTTTTACATTTTTGATTGCGTTTCTGAATCTTGAGTTTACAATTATGTAGTCGATTTGATTACGGATTATTCTTGAATTTGTCGACCCAGGAGCGGTCCACGTATACAGTCTTCTTTTTGGCTGCTGGAACCATGTATTCGCTACTACTAAATTGTTCTCGATGCAAAAGTCAATCAATTTTGATCCTCTCATATTTCGCTGACCTAACCCATATTTGCCTGCTACGTTATTCACTTCTTCATTACCGACTTTCGCGTTGAAGTCACCTAAAACAACTAAACAATCTTCTTTACTTGCATTTTTTAATAATACCTTAATTTCTTCATAGAATTTTTCAACCTCTTCATCGTCCTTTTCTGCAGTGGCTCCCACTCCACTACGCTCCGTAGACTTGAATAAAATTAATATTTCCTTTTTTTGTTTTTAGCTGCATAAAAATTACTCTATCCGATTTTGGGATTATACAATTAACGTGATTTTTTAAGTGTTTGCTAATTAGAAATCCCACACCGTTTCGTTTTGGATGATTTGCATCCGGACCCGAGTAGAACAAATAATTTTCTTCTGTTTCACGTTCATCGTTGCCAATCATATGCGTTTCGCTGATACCTATGATGTCCAGGTTTAACCTTTTTTTCTCTTTTTCCAAATTTTCCAATTTTCCCGGCATGGCTAAACTTCTTACATTCCATGTTGCGACTGCTAATTTTTTACTTTTATTTGAAGGTGATTTACTAGGGAATACGTTTATGAGGTGGTTTCCCGTTGCCTTCCTCATATAATTTTAAATACATATTTACGCAATTTTAAATATTACGTAATTTTTTAAAAAATATATTGGACCTATTATACTATTTACATGGACAGAGAGTAACAGAAAATTTTTGAAGCCAGCATAGAATATGATGTACATATATACTCCAACATAAAAAGTTGTTGCTAGCATAAACAAAAAAATAATAAATTTTTTTTCCTCGGTGAAATTGTTTTTTCTAAAATTTTACACAAAATGTATAAGCCAAGTTGTTAGAATTTTATTAGAACAAATGTTTTTTATTTCATCTATTAAGCAATTTAATAAAAATTTGAAAGTTGATAAAAAAATTTCTCGCAAATCATACAAGTTTTTCAATATTTCATTCGGGCGAACAGAGTTAAATTCTTTTTTTCCAACTCTTTTTTTCACAATATGTAAAAGTCCAGTAAATAAGAACATATACATATGTAAGTGAAAAAGTGTTTTGTTTTGTTTACTTTACTAAATTAAAAAAGTGTGCCCATAATATAAAATTAAAAGAAAAATAATACGATTTGATTTGTATAATCTGTAATATTTTTTACTTTAAGTAATTATGTAATCTTTAGTACAATCTTTTACCTTCCTATTTTAGTTTATACTTTTTTTAAAAATTTTATATTTTAATAATTTATGCGACTGGTAAATATATACATACAAGGGATGTGCACAGCGGTCTCGTCACCGCCCGCACAAGATCTGCACAGGGGGAAGCACGACTTGCCCAACCCATTCAGGTGGTAATTCTGCCCAATGAAGTACCCCATAGCGTGAACCCGGCTCCTGTTCATTCCCAGCAACTCTGCGGTGAATCCACTGAAGCACGCATGACGGCACCCTTTCGTGCCCCGCCAGTGGAGACCGCATTCCGCCGCTAGCAGACAGGCAAGCCTGGCCTTCACGGCGTAAGAAGGCAGATCACAGAAGGGCGCCGACTGCACAAAGGTAGCCCCAGATCGCCTCCGCGCTAGCCCATCAGCAAACTCGTTGCCCGCATGGCCACTGTGGCTTGCCACCCAAATGAGCGTGACCCTGTTCTCCAATGTCAATTCCACAAGTGCAGCAATGGCAGCCTCAGACCAGCTTGGATGTAACCTGAGCCGAATGAAGCGCCAACAATGCAGCCCTGCTGTCCGAGAACACATAGATGGTACGGTTTGTATACCCCTTTTCTAAATTGACTTTCAGACAGATCTCTATTGCATATATTTTGGCTTGAAACACCGTGCAATATGGGTCAAGAGTCGCATATATACGCGTGTTCGAGCGGACACCGTATACACCCGAACCCACACCCGATTTCGTTTTAGACCTGTCTCTTAGAAAGTTGAACCCGGTGGTTTAACTTTCGCCCCGCCTTGTCCTCGCCAGAGAGAAGTCGGTAAGTCACTAACTGAGCTTCCTTCAATATATGGTGGTGCAGTGGTGGTAACCCAATCATCACCTCCAACGCAGCGGTAGGAGCCGTCCGCTTTGCCCCGGTCACTTCCAGGCAGACCAACCTCTCCAGCTTTTCCAGCTTTGCCCGCACATCCGCTTGCTGAGCCTTATGGCACCATACAATCGACGTGTAAGTGACGATGGGCCTAGCAATGACTGTATATAGCCACAGTTTTATCCTGGGAATGATACCTCAGGTCCCACCGTTGAAGCTCCTACACGCCCACAAGGCCGCCGTAGCCCTCCCGATAACTCTATCTATGTGGGTATTCCAGGAGAGGCGATCATCCATTGCTAGCCCCAGATACCTCACCTCCTTAGAGTAACTAATATGTTCACCAAACAGAATTGGGCTTGTTAATTTATTCCTGCTTCTGCGTCTGGTGAAGGCAACCAAAGTGCTCTTGTTGGGGTTTATATGTAACCCAACGCCTTTGCATCACCTTTCCACAACACGAAAAGTGTCGCAGTGCGTCGTCCCGTATGAATCTATCAATCACTTTTTCCATTGCTTTCAATAGAAAAGAAGTAAGGCTGATGGGACGGAAAGACCTTGGGTGGTTGCTTGGTCGCTTATCTGCCTTCGTTGCTTTAGCCACACTCCTTGCCTGAGAGATGTAACCCCACGCATAGCTGGCACGAAAAATTTCCAACGCAGGATATATCCCGTCATCACATCCTGACAAGATTCAGGAAAGTGCGTTGAGGCCATAAGTTCGAACATCTGTTTTCCGTTATCAGGCTTGAAGTTATCAGGCCGTTGCATTAGGCCCAACCCGCTAGCATACTTTTTGGAAAGCACCATGTGAAGACGCGCACTGCTGGGGAGTTCATCAATGCCCTTGCAGATCGCCCACCACGAACTTTTCTTCGCTTTCCTAAATTCTTTATTGTATTTCGTGAGTGAGTCTTTCTACTTCTCCCACGAACCCGACCCCTTGGCCTTATTGAATAGCTTAGTCTATGCCTTGAAAGCCTTTCATTCCATCACGGACACTTTCTATTGCCCCGCCTCGGCTTAGCGCGGCAGCTCCCATTGTAAGCATTAGTAATAGCCATCGTCAGTGCCTCGCTGGCCAGTTCGATATCCATCACCGCTCTGACAGAAGTGGGAATGGATCCAATCCCATCCATGAGGACCGTTTCGAATTGACTCCAATCTGTAGCACCGGATATATTTCTTCTGCTTGACCCCCGGAAACCATGATATCCAACCTAATCTGCCTATGGTCGGACATGGATGTCTTATTTGAGACATCCCATCCACCAACCCGACTGCCGATAAATTCAGTGCAAAGGGTAATGTCAAAGACATCTTCCCTAATTGCATTTTATAACTTATTGCTACATATAAATTCAAGTAGACACTCACCTCTTTTATTTATATCACTGCTTCCCCAGAAGGTGTGGTGCGCATTGGCATCACTACCTATTATCAGTTGGAAGTTCCTTTCACAAAAGTCCACTAGGTCTTTCAGTTGTTCGTCTGGATGGGCACAGTCTCCTGGGAGTTAGGATGAGCACACAATAAACCCTGTCCAACCCCCGAAAGACTTCACCTTCACCAACACAGCTACCTGATCCTTGGAGCAATAATATGGAATGGGAAGATATGTTAGTCTAAAACAAAACTACTCTTTAACTAAACAAAATACAAGCCCTAGGCCTGCCCCCAATTGTATTATCATTCAATAGCTCACCTGTTAGACCCTTAACCTGATCCTTCACTATGTAAGGCTCATGAATAAGAGTGATACCGAGGTGATCCTTCATAAATCTGTGAGCCAGAGCATTCGTGGATGCGCTAGCATGTTGCAGATTTATTTTGATGCACCTCACAGCCATATCATTTTCTCTTTGCCGTTTTTTTGTGCATCTTGCTGCGCGCTTGGCCCACCACAGCCTCTTTTGCCGACCTAGGTGCCGCACTGGCCTCTTCAACAGCAAATACTGAAGCAGTTTTTCAATGGGCTTGAGCCCTTTTGCTTCACCGGGGACGATTGTATTTGGCGTGCTGGTTGATGGTCCTTCCATTCACCTTGCCGCCATTTTCGAAGCGACTTCAGATTTTCCAATGAGTTTTGACTCTTTTGGTTGCCCTGAAGTGCTCGTTGTTGTCGCAGTGGGCGTTGATTTTTCAAATTGTCCTGCCCTCTCAAGGTGTTGGGACAGGACAGGACAATCCTTTAATCCGTACGGTTACACTGAAGTAGTTTAGGAAAAGTCGGAACTCCACTTTCCAAAGATCTTCCAAGCCGGAATCATCCACGGAGAAGATGATGGAGCAGACCCCGTCCTTTTCCTCATCCATCCTCAGCACTCTTCAGGATTTCCTCTTCTGTGTCAGTCGACAGAAGCTCTGGTTCCGCAGACCCTTGAGCCCTAACTGTGTTAGTATTAATGTTGTCCTTAGTATTGTCATTATTGTTGTAGTTGTCACTGTTGTTATTGTTGTAGTTGTAGTTTTCGTAGTTGTTCTTATTGTTGCAGTTGTTTTTGTTGTTTTTATTGCTCCTACCTTCTATTTTGTTCCCACGAGTAGAGCGGGAAAGTATGGTCACCCATGGCAGAGCCCGGCATACCATGCGAAGGCTTGTTTAAACAGGAGGGCGCCTGGTATCCGGAGTCCGCATATCAACGACTAAGCTCCCCCTTAGCCACGCAGTCATCGGCATATGCTGTTCCACCTTGACTTGGGACGACTGTCATCAGCTGACGTATAGATATAGGGCTGAAACTCACAAAGCAAGAGATTCGCCGCAAGACATGATCACGACACGAATGTAGCTTTGATCGTTTCAATCACCCCTTCATCCTCCGCCGGGGCTCCCCACTGGGAGGTGACAGTGGGGTTTTGGGCCCTATACAATTTTTACAATATTAATACGTACTTTGACTTTTGTTTTAATATTTTAATTTAAAGTTCTATACAAATATTAATTTTTAATAAACGATACCACATCATTGAAAACATAACATTTTTGTACTGTATTAGGAAAAAAACTTAAAACTAGCACTTGATTGCAGATGCTTGTTTATTTAATTGGTTATTTCTTGCAAGATATATCAGAATAAGTGTACAACGGGAAGAGTTTTTACTAAACTTTTTGGAATGTGATACTTTGTAAAGTATCATTCCAAATCGCTCATTGAAGTCACGGATAGTTTTAAGTTTTATAACAGACAAATATAAAATTTACAATATAAAATATTTTATTGTATTTTCCAACACAGTCGATATAATACATATTTTATGCGTTATTTAAAAGCAACAAAAAACAATAAAGTATTTTTACTATTGTTTAGTGTAAAAACAGAAAGAGGTGAACAGCAGCGACAGACGATTTCTGTTTTTAAACCACAGCAACAGCGAAATGGTAAAATCTTTTACTTTTTGTTTAATTTATTATATGATAGTTTTTTTCAAATTAAAAAAGATGTTTGTCACTCGAATGTCATCGCATGTTTTGGCGGTAAATATCCACTTTTCCGATTTAGCAATAAATATAAGTCTTCATGTTGCAGCAATAAATATAAGTTACCCTACTTAAATAAGTGGATTCAATAATATTTTGAACTTTTTTTATGTCTCTTTTGAAAAAATAATTTTTTACGTGATAAATTTTTCACCCACTAAACAAATTAAGAAAGCAGTAACACATCTTTTTCAATTTTGCGCTGGTATATTTACCTCTATCTTTAATGCTTTTCGGTACAATGCTTGAAATAACAAAAATTTCTGTCAATGCTTTTTAATGCAGGATAATGATTAACTTACTTTCAAGAGTCCTACTATCATACTAGTTGTTACTATTTATGCATCTTTTCGTTCGTTCTTGTTTTTTTAGTTCAAGGGTTGAAATTGGTCAGATTCAAAGTTATCAGAGCATCTCAGATGAGCAGAAAAAAATTTGTACCAAGCCATACCAAGTATCAATAGCATATCGACTAATGTCTTTACATTTAACAAGTCCCAATACTCATTTTTTTTTTCGAAATATTACGAATTTTTGGCTTCGTTCCTGTTTTTTTCATTAAATGCTACTGATCGTGTCATATTTCTTATTATTTTTTTCTTTTTTTTTACGTAAAAAAGAGTTTAATAATTTAAAAAATCTCAGGATATTATACACATTTTTTAAAAAGCTTCCCATTTAAATTCTAGGTAGGAGGAAAGAAAAAATTTAAAAGAAAGGTAGGAGGAAAGAAAAAATGATAAAAAATTTGAAATTCATATTTCAGTATGGTTTCAAATGTTAATGAGGAAGAATGTATGATTTTTTATGCACATTTTGTATTTCCCAATAAGGTAAGTTGAGTAGTGTCGGCTAAGAAAAATGTTAGTAAAAGTAATATAGGTTGACAGATTTCAACAATTTGAATTATCTCATTTCGGTTATTTATACGTTACTTATAAATTGTTTCAAATAATTTCAGTTAGTTCTTAAGTTATTAAAAATAAATATGTATGTACCTAATTCCAATCAATTTTTTTTTAAATAATTATTTTAAAACTATTTCAAACATGTTATATTGAGTGCTTCAAAAATTTCATTTTGCACTTCTTTTATATTTTATTAGGAGGTAAACAAGAGCAATCTATTTATAAAATGGTCCTGTCTGTGTATGAATTTTAATAGTAAACGTAAACGGACAAAAATTTACATCAGTACCTACTACCTGTCATTTTACAATCGGAGTTTTTGAGTCATTTGCTATTCGTAAGATACTATTTATTTCAAAAATAAAAAATTGTCTTTTCCAAAACCTTTTAAATATTTTTTTACTTAGGTAATACATTAAGTTTTAAAAATTTTCTCACAAATAGAGGTAAAATTTAGAAGTGTATACAAAATTTGTATTTAAAAAATGATATTTGATTGTATTTTAGATATTATTTTTCTAATTCCCTCTTAAAATTTATTCTTTACTACGTATTTGTATCAATATTTAATAATTATCTTTCATTAATTATATTTTCAACTTGACACCACAGTTACTTCCCATATCTTGAGTTAACTTACCCTATGAGGAAAAAAAGCTGTTCACTTAAAAATAATGAAATGCTTTCAGTTACATATAAAACGTTGAAGGCGAAGGATGTGCTTGTTGTTTTTCCGCTTTTTTTTAAATAATTATCAATGAAAATATTAATATATTTTTTTGATTTTTCAAATACATTTTCTAAATTTTACCTGCTTTATAATAAGTGTGAATTTATTTTAATATTTCTTCTCAAAAAATAGCCACTTCGATTTAAAAAAACCCATATAAAATAAGGTCGTGCTTTCAAGTTTCTCTCTGAGCATTGGGACTTGTTAGATATAAAGACATTAATAATACTTAACAAAATTAAGCAGCGGGTAAAACAATTCATTTATTAGACAATAAAAAGGCTTGAGGTTCGTTTTAAAATGACTTGATTAAAAAATAACTGAGTTATCTTCATTGCCAATAAATTAAAAATAATCTTTAATGAGCAAATGAGATTGAGCTAAAACTTTCTGTTTTGTGAAGGTAAAATGTGATTCTGAGTTTTCCACTCCAGGATTATACGTATGAAGTTGTAATGTTTTCGTTAGTTATTTTGTCTCAAATTCAATAACATTTTCAATTAAAATTATTAATTCGTGTTTATTTTATTAAAAATTTTTAAATATTCCGTTAAGTTTTTTTTTATGATTTGATTAAAAAATTGTGAATCGTTCAACAAAGAATTTAGTATGGTAATGAAAAATTGTACCAAAGTTGCAACTCATAGTATCAAAAATTAAAATTCGGAAGCTTGCGTGTTGCGATATTCAAATTTCATATAACACGATTTCGAATCACCATTTTTCTCGTGAAAATAGCGCTTAAAAGTATGAAACTTCTAATACGAATTTCATTTAATGAAAGTAAAAATCTTAAATTCATGTTCTTGTTTGGTATGTACCACAATCGATGACATTTGTATCTTCCTTTCCAATAAAGTTAGACGAAATTTTTTTTTGTCAAAATGGCGATGTGAGAGAAGTATTTTTTATGAAATTCGAAATAAAGGATTGAATATAAAGTAGAAAAAAATTTCAATAATTAAAATTAATAATATGTAAGTTAAAAGTTTACTATAAAATTGAAAGAATGTTTGGTTTATTATGAATAATTTTAATTTTTTATCAATTAGTGTAGCAAAATAAGAAAATCGTAAATCGGAGGAAAAAAGTAAAAGTGCTTCGTCCATATTTCTTCCCTTGGTTGTGGAAGAAATTTTGAACTGATGAAATTACGTGCGGGTTAATTTTCTTATATAAAACAGTAATTACAAAAGTTTTTCAAAGAAAATATTAGTCAAGTTAAAAACTTTTTGAAATGTTTTCGAAAAATAATCGGTGATAACTAAGTGGAATACTAGTTCTTAACACATAAAAAAATTCATTTCAAACTGAAGTTATACGTATATATCTACCCACCAACAGAAAAGAAAAGAATTTTAGAAAAAATAAGCTGGATTAATTTACTAGTTGTCCATTCTGCTGCATATGAACTTGAACATATGACGGGAAAAAAAATATTAATAAAAAGCAAAACAACCAAAATTTATGCTGCAAAGGAAAAGGTCACTTTTAGAATAAATTGTTTCTTCGGTAAGTAATATTCTTCTTTTGTATACTAGTTTCAAAATTTTACATTTGCTTTAAGATCTTTTTGAGCTGATTTTAACAATTTTTTAACACGAAACATATTCGTTTTTTTTTTAACTATACAGTTAGGTATGTAACCATACATATGAAATATCTATCAAAATAAAATTAGGTTAACTAGAATCTTAAAAATTAACATATGTATGTAAGTAATAGTTATTTTCATTCAACAGAACTTAAATAATTTACAAATAAATTCACATATATTTCATATTTCTAAAATTGATTGTGGGTATTTTTCATTCTTATTTACGTTTTTTGTTTATTTCATTTATGTTTTCAAATTGCACATACAATAAAGCTAAGTATGATGACGTCGCTAAGGCGATTTTGCCATAAAGTGTGAAATTCATATAAAACACGTATATAAACACTTATCTGCCGATGCAGTAGCTACAAAATTTTCCCAAAAATTACCGATTTATATCCAATAATATCAAATAAATATTTTGGATTACTTATACATATGTATTTATAGATTATGCTAAAAAAAATTTGCACGTATATACATATGTGCATAAAGAGATGCCTATATGGGTATGAAAAAATGTTTATTATTTCATCTGAATTAAAGTGGAGACAGAAAACAATGGCGTAAATTTAAAGCAAGATAAATATTTATATGACGAAAAATATTTTAAAATAAAAACACAGATTAGTTTTAAAATTGTCTGTAATTTTTTTCTATGGTTTTGTAGTTAGGTAACAAGCTTCGTTTTGTAAGTTATCATTCCTTTTAATAGTTAAACCGAAATAATAATATTCTTATCAATAACAGTCAATACTGAATACATAACCCACCTTTTATCCATAGTTATATTCAAAATATAATTTCTATTTATAATTGTTCTTAGATACGTACCTACGTATATGTCCCATAGTATATAGCAAGAAATATTTCACTTGATTGATAAATTTAATTACATTTTTATTTTTATCGAAAACATAATATACTATTCTGAAAATCTTAAAATTTTTATTTTCTTTACAGTAATTTACAACAATTTGAGGCTGTATTCATTTCAACTACGGAAAAAATGAGAAAATTTTAAAATTTCAAAATATTACTTAAAGAATTATGAATATAATTATTTGGACTGAATAAACAAGAATTTACAAAAACATAATAATTACTTATATATACATATATTTGAACTGAATTTGTCTACGCAATAAAAAAAAAATAAAAATTGATCAATTGATTAAAACAAAATTCTGAAGTAAGGTGTAAATATTATAAAAAAAATTAGTATAAAAAATAAAAATATAATTATAGTATAAAACGATTACGGAGAAATGGAATTAAGAGTTGGTAATAAATATCGCTTAGGCCGTAAAATAGGGTCTGGTTCTTTTGGTGATATATATTTGGGCACAACAATTAATACGGGAGAAGAAGTTGCAATTAAATTAGAGTGCATTAGAACAAAACATCCACAATTGCATATTGAATCAAAATTTTACAAAATGATGCAAGGTGGTATTGGTATACCACGTATTATTTGGTGCGGCTCTGAAGGAGATTATAATGTTATGGTAATGGAATTGTTAGGTCCATCGTTAGAAGATTTGTTTAACTTTTGTTCACGTCGTTTTTCATTAAAAACCGTTTTGCTACTGGCTGATCAAATGATATCACGTATAGATTATATACATTCTAAAAGTTTCATACATCGTGATATTAAGCCAGACAATTTTTTAATGGGTCTTGGAAAGAAAGGCAATTTAGTATATATAATAGATTTTGGATTAGCAAAAAAATTTCGAGATACGAGCAATTCACGACATATACCTTATAGAGAAAATAAAAACTTAACGGGTACAGCCAGATATGCTTCAATTAACACTCATTTAGGAATTGAACAATCACGTCGTGATGATTTAGAATCGTTAGGATATGTTTTAATGTACTTCAATTTAGGTACATTGCCATGGCAAGGCTTAAAAGCAGCTAATAAACGTCAGAAATATGAAAGAATATCAGAAAAAAAATTGTCTACACCAATTTTGGCATTATGTAAAGGTTTTCCCAGTGAATTTGCAAATTATTTAAATTACTGCCGACAAATGCATTTTGAACAACGTCCGGACTATTGCTATCTACGTAAATTATTTCGAACTTTATTCCATCGTTTAGGGTTTACATATGATTATGTTTTTGATTGGAACTTACTCAAATTCGGGGGCTCCAGAAATTCCTCCTCACAGCAGCAACAGGAAGGCGGTAAGTTCTATAATAAAAAGTTTTATAAAACACACATAAAAAAAATAATATGTTTGAAGGTGATAATGGCGCTGCAGCTGGAGCTGGTGTTTCAACTTTAGACGGAAGTAAGCAAAATCAATTAGTTAGTAGCCATTCAGCCGCTGTTGTTGCTACTTCTGGGGGTGGAGGTGGTTTAGTTAGTAGTTCAGCTGGAGGTGGCCAAATGGTTGATGATACTATGGTAGCAACTAATTCTTCAAGACCATATGACACATCTGAAAGACGACCTTCTATTCGAATGAGAGCACAACCAGGTGTAATTGGCGATGGTAGAAACCCAAAATAATATATTGTCTAATGGGGATGTCTTTCTACCTTAACCAAAAATTGATATTTTTTCGGTTAAAAGAAAAGTTACGAGAAAAAGACGAAGTTGGTTGCTTTAAGTGAAATAAATGCATTTAGATAAAATATTACAAATATTAACAACAAATTAAGCAAATTGCCGTAACAGAAAGCATCATTCATAAATTACTAAATTTAAAAGTTTATATTAAAATTATGTTCAATAAATACCTATTAAGCATTATTTTTATATGGCAAAAATTTTTCCTTTTATAGTTATTGCATACATTACGTCAATCTGAAGTTATACTATATAAGTAGCCGTTAATTCGAGATATTTAAATCAAATATAAAATGTTATTTTCGTGTTTGGTGAATATAAAATGAAAAGTTTTATATGCATCAATCATTCTAGAAATCGCATCTTCAATTAATTGCGCTCATAGAAATATAATGCAAAAAACGATACGATTTGCACTTTTGTATTTAATAGTAAATATATTATGAATATCTCCTATTACCACAATTTTTGTTATTTCAACGATTTTAAATAATCTATTTAATTATTTGTGTAAAAAAATATATATAAAATTTGATGAAACTAAATTTGTATAATCACTATACTAAAATTGTTAAAGGAAAATTCTTACTAAAACTGAATATCGTAGAACTAAATTTGGTAATAATTAATGAATATTTTAATGCGACTGGAAATTAAACATTATATTTTTTCTATTGGCATAGAATTTTTAAAGTAGTAATTATTCAAAGAAGTGAACAGACAAAGTGATATTTAAGTTTTCAAAGGGTGAAAACTCAAATCTCATGCATGTATATTACTATAATATATTATTAACATTATAAACATTTCAAATTTTCTTGATACAAATGTAATATCACTTAACTATTACAAAATGTAAAATAATAGCTTTGCTTTCTTTATGTTTATATTAAATGCAAAAATAAAAAAAAAATATATTAGGAGTTTTTAAATTAAAGTGAAATTTTTTTAAATGTACACAATGTTCTATGGCCTTTTGTATTTTAGTTTTTGGTTTATGAAAACATAGTTTTTAAAAAGAATAAACGTATAATTAACTTAGGTAGAATTAAAAAGAACCTGTCAATTGAAATATTTTGCGTGTTATTTTTTCGATAACTTTACATCTTGACTTAAAAGCTTAACTGTGCTAAGAAATATAAAAAAATATCAAACAATATAACACAAACTTTTTTTTATATATTTAGTGATTCTCATAAATGTTTCTGCAATTTTTTATGCAAAAGTAAAAAACAAGCTGTTTTTTAATGATTTTTAGATTCAATTTCAATGTAATATAATGTGAAAATTATAAACTATTGTGTATTGTATAATAAAAAATATAATATAAATATGAAAATTATAAACTATTATGTTTAGAGAAAAAATTATTGTTTTATACAGAGTGTAGAAGATATTATGAATTGCAGGTCTGTTTTAACTGTTGCTGAAGAATTAAAATTTAGAAAGATACATAAGCAACTAACAAATTAATATTGCTTTGAAAAAAACATTGTTTTATTTTCTTTGGTTCTAAAATTGTTTTGCCTAAATATTTATGAGAATCATTTAGTATATTTTTTGCAATAAGCGTACGAAAAGGGCTTTTAAAATTTAAGATTATCTTAATACTTGTACACATTGTATTACTGTAGAAGTAAGATTATTGGTGAACTGAAATTATAAATTTAATTTTTCTATTTTAATTCGTTAAAATAGAAAATTCGTTAAAGTTTGCACTTGGAAATTAAGATAATTTACAAAATTAGGTGGCAACAAGAGCATACCAAGCTTAAATATAAAGCTAAATAGTTTGAACGTAATTAAATGTGTTTTACTTTTAACTTTTCTTCAAGTATGTAACCGAATATTTTTAATTTAAGGAGCTGTATTTATTTTAGCTTAATCCTGGTGTCACTTAGTTGTTTTGTAAGCCAGACAAGTTACAACTTTAATTTTGTCTTGCACTACTGATAATAAGGTTTCTATTCAAATTACAATAAATTTTTGCAGTATAATTTCGATAGCAAAATCTACTTTCCCTTTTGAATAAATTTTATGTTAAATACACATAATTATTTTGGTAGAAAATTTTCATAGTTTAATTTTAAGCACAAATCAAATTTATCATTAAATACATATATAAAACATAAATATATATATAAATATGTATATTTCATAAAAATACAAATATTTTGAAAAATTATCCAATAGATGTCAGATAATAATGATACAAAATAAATGAATTTATTCAAGTTAAATGAACATTTCGTTGTGCTAAATTAATTGTAAATGTGTGTAAAAATTTGTATTACTATGTGCATATGAATAAATTATTATAGGTACCTTAGAAGTAAGAACTTATCAGGTATTTACATTGAAAAAGTATTTGGTTACTTTCCGGGAGTTATAGTTTTCATGTACACACGTATGAACTCGATAGCAGGATCGACATTATTTTTTCTTATTTCATTTTACTGTGATTATTATATTAAAAAATTTAAGTTAATTTCAGCATACCATGAAGAATTATAAAAAGATTTATTCCTTTTGGAAATTACATGAAAAAATAAAGAATGTGCTCAAATACATTTCATTTCAAAAATTTATTTAAAAATAATTATATGTTTCAGAAATAAATGTATGTATATGCTTCATTATTCAAGCAAATATAAATGTATACACACGGGATACTGAATATATGCACGTAAAAGTATATATATATTATACATATAGTTTAATTTAAAACACATGTAATAAGCATTATAAAAGTATTCATATACTTATCAATATTTGTATTAATAATATATATAATGTGTATAATATATATATATATTATGTAAGTGCATATAGGCAGCAAATATTTTATAATTACAAGTGTTTATATTAATTTCAAGATGTACATGCATATGAGTACGGTATTAATACACATTCAATATTCATGTCATAATATTTAATACATATATTTGTATAAAATGTTATATATTTTAAGGTATATATTCATTTATACATTTCAAACATAATAATATCAAATAATATTACTTTTCTCATTCTTAATCTTTCTTATACATATATACGTATTTTCAATTTGTTTATTATAACATTGTACAAGTTAAATAATATAAAAATACAAGTTAAATAACATAACAATAATAACTAATATTATAGGGTTAAACAACGTTAAGTGTATATTAATTTCAAAGTATGATTAGCTATTAAATCAAGTGAATAATATAAAAAATTAAATCACTAAGTAAATCATTACTAAAAAATATCGTTTTCTAATTTGAGTAAAAGAAAAATACATAAGCTTACTGGTTTTACAATCTATCTAAATAGCAAATGAATAGTAAGAAATAACATGAAATATTTTAAAACGAAAAAATGAAAAAGATATTTCCTAGTGTAAGAAATTTGTTAGAAAATCCACTGTAAATTCCAATATTGTAAAAAAATTTATTCAAAAGTTAATTATACAAAATTTAAGAGTATACAATTTCGAATAAGATTGGGCTTTTTATAAACTCCTAGAGTATCACTTTTGAAAGAATGGTATGCATTATATTTCTTGATTTAAATTTAAGTTCATAATACTTATAAGATTTTTTAAGTTCAAAAACAATGAACTTAGCATATGTAATATTTGATATTGAATCATTATTGTGGTCTTTTCTGCTTTTTTTAATGTATATATTATAAATTTCCGTAGTTAATGATTGATCAAGTACATGAAAATTTGTTTAAACATATGATTTTATTTTCATTACTAGAACCTATTAAAAGAAAACAATAACAATCATACGTATTAAGTATGTGAAAATTTTTAATACTAAGTAGATAGTATTTTCAATTATTTCGCATTAAATTTTTAAATTTCTGGTTAAAGATTTTAATTAAAAATGTAAAATTTGGAATTTTGCTACTTTTTAATTATTTCTATTAATTAGCGAAAAAAATTATTAAGTACATACATACAAAAAATTGGTCAGAATGTTTGTTTTTTTAAAAACAATAACTAAAAAATAGTAATGAATAATGTAGTTATTTATGATTTTTATTTGATAGGTTCGATAAATTTAATATAAAGCTCTTGTGGAAGAATTTTTTTTTAAATTTTCTATTTTAAAAATTATTTACTATACAAAATTAATTAAATCTACAAAATATTATGTAAGAAACGATTTCTAAATGATGTTATACATTTAGTACTTCAAATTATTTAGGTGTAATACAGATTTTCTCACTGACAAACTTTATATTTTACTCAATTTCTAATACATATACGGTGTGCATTAAACATTTTATAGTGGTCAATATATTTTTGTCTTTTTAACACGCAACGTCATTTAAGAAATACGTTTTGAACTAGAAATAATAGTTTCATAAGTAATTAAGATTCTTTTAATAAATTCTCCATAAAAGATATCACAATCTCATTTTAATTCAATTTATGTTCACCTTTATATTCTGTATAACATCGTTAATTAAGTGTATGATAATATAATTGGACAGAAAATAAAGAAAGTATAACCTAAATTTAGGTTATTAAAAATTAAATAAACTCATAAAAATACAAAAATACCTATTAAAAATTGTATTATAAGATAAATATTTTTTATTTGTATCAACGTAAAATAAAAAATAAAAATTTAGGATTAATTCAAAAAATTTAAAAGTTAATAATAATAGATAAAAAATAAAAAATCGAAAAATTATTAATATAAAAACATAATATTAATATAAGAAATACAAAATTATAAAATAAATTGAAAAAAACAAAAAACATTTTTTTTTTAGAAAATTATATATACTGTATGAATGTAAAAAGATTATATGATTAATTATGATAATAACAATAATAATAAAAAAAAAACAAATTAACTGACTATAATACATAAGGTAAACAAGAATTATAACTTAATAAAATAAAAGAAGATAAGAAACTTACCCTTTATGAATAAATTTTAATAAAAAAGAACAATTAAAAATACCTTCTTTTATTGGATATTTGTTGCAGTACTTCTTGCAGAAACTATGACCAAAAAAGTAAAAAGCTTCAATTTAAATTTTTATCATATATGTAAGTAAAGATTATCTACTGTGCCTTTTTCTTTTAAAGTGATTACCTTTAAATCTTTAAAGTTTCTCATTAACATCTTTAATAATTATTTAATTTTTTGGCACTTTTCCAAAAAATTTTTGAAAAAAGCGCTTATTAGTTTCACTCTGTCGGTCCGTCTGTTCGTGTGTCTGTTTACAAAACTTCTACACCCTTGAAGATAGAAAGCTGAAATTTTATATGTACATAGATCTTTACTAAAAACTTATTTTCGTAGAACAAAATTTTTACCTATCTCCTCCCCTCTAGGAGCTCTACCCCCCGAAACCCTAAAAATATCATTTTTTAACTATTTATTGCAGTGAAACCATAAACATTTTTCGCAATTTTGCAAACGCAGAAAGGCAGTGGCTTGCTTCACCTATCGCGGCATAATATAGTTAAACTTTAAAAAAACAAAATGATTGTTCGAATTTACCGTTATCTAAAATGCGTTTTGTTGACCATTATGTTGTTAACCCCTCTTTGAAGTAATTTTTGCTTTTTTTAAATATATGCAATCCTAGAAGTAGTTTCTTATATGAATGAAAGTAATTTTTAATATTTTAAATATTTAAAACAAGTGAATTGTATTAGAAAAACCACTTTTTATCATTCCTTTTCCAATTTTAAAAATATTAATATTATACTAAATTTACTCAATATAAAAAACCAATATTTTACCATTTTTCTATCATATTCTTTAAAACGGTTAGCCATTTTTTTTTAATTTCAATCAAATTGGGAGCAAAGCAAATACAACTGCCACCTTTTTCATATTTCTTATACAACTTATTGGAAGTGCTTGAAAAATACAACTAGGTCAAGAATTCCATTTTAAGATTCTAGAATACTTTGACGCCAAAAGAAACTTCCCACTAGAAAAATTAAAATTTTTAGGATATTTCTTTCTCATCATTAGCAGTATTTTTTTGTTATGAAAAAAATTATTGTATGTATAAGAAAAAAAATTTCTTTAACTGTTATGTTGAAACTCATAATTTTCAAATTATCTAAAATAATTCAAAGGTAAACATTTAAAGAAGTGAAATTTGGGATGTAAACGTGAATTGCTGCGCCAAAAACTGTAAAAATTATAAAAGTTTTTCTGTAAATATCATATAAAACGTACATATAAACAAAACTTTATTTATATATTACCTACCTGAATTATTCGGAGTTAAAAATGAGAATTTTTAACGAACATGATAAAAAATTGGGGTGAATTTGAGCAAATAATAATATATTAAGTATAAAAGATTTTTTGAATAGCAGATAAAATAGTTTAGAAAATACTTTAGATGAAAAAAGATTTTTTAATAAAATCGATTGAAATAATTAGAAGCATACCAAAAGTACATATATTGAATAAACTTTATTATTATTCTTTAAGAAAATTTTTTTCCCTCTAGGGTAGTGTGGAGAAAAGAATAAAAGAATTTAAATAATCTTAATAACTTTGTTTTAATAGAAAATGCTTGTTCCTATTTCGTTACTTATTAAAATACAATCGTTCTATTTCAGTTTAAAATTTCTTTCTATATTATAATAAATATATTTCTTCCAAATTTTGACTTTTTATATTTGACTGAAAACGGCTAAACAGTAAATATCAGCGAAAATGAAAAATTGACTCTACTTTCAGTCTATTAATCGGGTCACGGACACTTAGTCCGTTTTTTTTCAATAATTTGATGGAAAAATTTCCAGAAATATTAGCATTTTTCCCAAAATATTGTTCAAATATTAGCATTCATTCGCATTAATTTCAGGGCTATAGTTGAAAAACCCAAATTCAAGCAAGAAATAATGAGAAAAATGGTCATTTGTAACACTAAGAAATAATGATCTGAGATATAGACCTAACTGACACTTAGGTCTATATCTAATATACTATAGTCATCTTCACGCGGTATGACGTTTTTAAAAAATAATTATAGTAATTTTAAAGGTTCGGCTGCCGGGTGAAATTTTCAATACTAAAAGTGCATCAACACAACTCGTATACTTGTTTTTGTTAGATAAAAAAAATACTTTTTGTTTTGTATATAACTATTTTTTTGACGTTTTGAAACGTAACTATATTTGATATTTTAAAAATCTAAAATGTAATATTTGTATATACGTTATGTGTATGCTTATACGAGTATATATGATGAAAATTTTATTTTGTTATGGAATCAATTTATTATAAAATTTTACTTTAGGACTTCATGAATTTAATTTATAAACCTGTTTGTAACTTTGGAATAATGTTTTTCCCTTATTTCAGTTCTTTTTACATTGCAGTGCCATGTTAAGAGTTAGTTGCACTGTAATATTGTATTTAGAGTTAAAGCTCTTATTTTATTATATTCTATCTTACCTACATATATTTTATAAAAAAATGTTGTAAGGGAAAAAAAAAATTAAAATTAAAAATATCTCACAAAGTCGATTAATTATAAATAAATAAAGATTAGAGAGGGTACACTCATATCTGTATATTCACACCCGTATACGAACGTATGTCCGAATGGTATACTAAATTTGCCTTACCGTTGTAACGCTAAGAAATTATAGTCTTGGATATAGAGTCAAGTGTATGATTTTGATTAGCGTCGAATTCTGAGTCGATTTAGCTTTGTCTGTCCGTTCGTTCGTCCCAACGATAACTCAAAAACTAAATGAGCTAAGTTTACCAAATTTTCACAAATTATTTTTTGTAGTAAGTGTCAGAACCATATTTAAATTGGATATGATCGGGGTACTGCTTCGAGTAGCTGCCATACAACTCCAAAATTTATTTGATTATATCTTAGAAACTATAAAAGCTTCAATATTGAAATTTCACACAAGCAAAGACGTTAGTAGGGCCAATGTGTTTGATAAAATTCGCTGAAACTGCTTGGCTCTTTCTGGTAGCTGCCA